CTTGCTTATTCGGAAACTTTGGACATTTTTACAATACTCTATCCCATAATTACAGGAATTTCACCGAAGTTGATTTTCGACTTAATTCCGCTTTTTTGATGCGCCTGGCCCACTGTGCGTCGGCCCAGTCCAGTGACGACACGTACAGCGAAGTTGATCGCTTTCTGAATGCGGTGCTTTTGGGAGGCAGTACAGCCTCCCCACACAGTACAGCAGTAAATAATGTGCGGGAAAACTAACGCCTCAACCAGCAGCTTCTTAGTTTCAAGCGAAATCTTGTGTCTCAACTTGGACAGACCGACGAGAACATAGTAGCAGCGGCGCGTTACCTGCGACACATGTTTCTCCCAAGTTAATGCAGAATCGATATTAACTCCGATAATTTTAGCAGATGAAGAGGGCTCAATTTCACAGTCTCCAAATGTGATTTTCATGTCAGATTCACACTTTTTCTTGGGTGGCTTAATGATCAAAAGTTCGGTTTTGCTTGGATTAATTTTGAGTCTGTTTTGGGGTAAACCACTGCAGCGCCACCTGGGCCCAATCTCACCAAGTGCGGTAAACTCAATTTGGGGTAAAATACCAAACTACCCCACTCCATAACTACAAAAATACTACCCCGAAATTAGTTAAACTAGCTTGGTGAGGTTGGGCACTTGGCCCAATCTCACCAAGTTATGTAAACTTAATTTTGGGACAGTATTTTTGTAGTTATGGAGTGGGGTACTTTGGTATTTTACCCCAAATTGAGTTTACCGCACTTGGTGAGATTGGGCCCTTGAGGGTATTTTCAACGCGCAGTTTGAGAGAAGCCAGGTTTTCGGCCGAATCACAGTCTAAAAATTGCACGTCATCAGCATACGTAACTTGTTTTCCGTGAGTCAAATGAGTGCCCAGGTCGCTAGTAAAAATCAAAAATAGTTTATTCCCGATGCATGTGGGTGACCCCTTATGCACGTGCCACGTGCAAAACCAAGAGGTGTCACTTTTGTAATTGTTGCAATATCTCGGTAACTACTGGGCCGATTACGCTGAGAGTTGGCATGTAGGTAGGCACCCATTAGGCAATGCATATCCATGTGCCAGAGTTGGGGTGCTGCTGCACGTGCGCACGTGCAGGGGTCGTTTCCAGATCTCGAGAACGGCTGGACCGATTGCGCTCAAATTTGGTACACGGTTACGGAGCAGTTAGTAGGGTGCCGTGCACAAGTCAGTTGGGATCCATTTTGCACGTGCGCACGTGCAGGGTGCCGCTTCCAGATCTCGCGAACGGCTGGGCCGATTGTGCTCAAATTTGGCACATCGCTAGAGACCGGTTAGTAAGGTGCCGTGCACAAGTCAGTTGGAGGTACCCCCTCGCAATTTCGCACGTGCAAGGCCCACCCTCTCGCTCGCTCCGTTAGTCGCCACCACTGAACTCTATAATGTGGAATGCGCATCGGCCGCCAGATGGTGTCCAACGGTGCCGCCATGTTGCGCAGACCAGGAAGCGGCCGCCGCCTGTGTTGGGGAATAGGGAATTCGGGACCTCGATTTACGTTTGCGGTCGCTGCATCCGTTACGTTCAAGCTATGTTGACACGGAACCCGGCATCTTACGCAGAATTGAGTGGAGAATAAGATCAAATCCTAGAAAATTCTCAGATACAAGAAACTAATACGTTAAGCCCTTTATAAGCCAATGGGGAAATATGAAAATTGCTATTTTGGCGCCGAGAATGATCTGAAACTATCTCAAGCATATAAAATCATGATTTCATGCACTCCTTGCAAGGTTCTATGCTTCATATTTGCATTGTTGCCCTTGCGTGACGGCATTTGTGACGTCACAACGGTCACAGTTTTTCTTCAATAACTCCCGATCAAATTAAGCTAGCGAGTCGGGAAAGCCACCAATGGACTCAGGAAGGCCTGCCGAATCGAATGATATGCGATATGACCTCTTTCGACCAACTTCGTGACCTGGGGGTGCTGACCTCACCTTGACCTGAGGTCAACACCCTAAGTTGACCTGACCCGAACAAAAAGTATATCACACGATGCGCCTGAGCTAGCTGAACACGATGATGCCAAAATCGCGGCTCTACGACCATTTTTGGCGAAGTTATTTGCCAAAAACCGAACCCGTGCCTTAGATCACTTGACCTGATCTCAGAGGTCACCGGTTGACCCGGGACCTTTACAGTGGGTTCCTACCAGTCACTCTGCATTATCCTTTGTCGCAAACGACCAATTTACCGCTTAATTCTAGTTTAATTAGCGGCGCATTAGCGAGGTGGGTTCAATCAACCCCCTCGGCCGGGGCAAATGTAGGTCCGGCGAGTGAATTTGAAGAATTCTGAAGATACGATCGTGTTCCCCACTCAATTTTGCGTAAGATGCCGGGTTCCGTATCTACGTAACTTGAACGTAACGGATGCGGCGGCCGCAAACGTAAATCGAGGTCCCGAATTCCCTATTCCTCAACACAGGCGGCAGCCGTTTCTTGGTCTGCGCAATATGGCCGCCACCGTTAGACACTACGGCCAATAGGGTTGAAGCGGCATTGCTCCCCTGTGGTCGCCACAAAAGGCGTTATACTGGTTGGTATATCTTATCTGCTAGTCTGAATCAACCAACGTCGTTATCGAATGCTGGTCTGTTTGACTTATAATGGATGTGCAACTGCCTCGTTCAACTCTCGATCACTTCTGACTATGTTGCATGTTCCGTTTGCTCTCTTTTCCCTCTCTCGCTCTTTCCTTTCTGTCTAACCTCCCCTCTCCCCTCTGTTCTGATGCTGCTGATGATCGGCGAGGGTTTCGGGGACGCCGGTGAAACGGTCTGTCTGTCTGTCTGTCTCTCCATCGAGTGTCTAACATAGTCTATCTCCCCTTCTCCTCAGATGCTTATGGGGCAATTCCACGACAAATCACCTAATTTTTTTCCAATTGTTCACCACGACCTCTCCGATTTTGCTCAAATTTGGCATGCAAGTTGACCTATAGGCACTACTTCGTCCCAATGAATTTTTAGTCCGAATGTTACAGGGGTCATGAGATATGGGTCATCCAAATTTTTAGGTTTTCCGGAATATTGAAATATAAAGTATTTTTTATCTCTGCAACGGTTCACCGGATCAAGAAAAGTTAGATATGAAATAATAAGCGCATAGACTGGTGCGTCTAGCAAAAATGTGAATGAAACCCCAAGGTCATTTTTTGACCTCGTGACCTTGTGACGTTTTCTTGACCTCGTGACCTTTCAAATTTGTCCTATTTTAAAAATTCTGATTTTTTCCCTCAGAGATGTCTTATCCATGCTCTCAATAGTGGTATGTGATTTGGTTGGTATATCGGACCCGTTGACCTCAAACTGAGGTCAACAATGTGGTCATGACCTGACATAAAAATGACATCTGTCCAGAACGTCGTGAATCGTAGGCAATATAGGTGTCATATGAAAGCTAACTTCACGAATAATACATTGGTGGTGTTTTTTAGTAGGTATGGACCGGGTCAAGGTCACATTAGGTCAGTGACCTAACACAGCATTGTGTTCTTTGAAGGTGGCGTATTTTATTTGTTTGGTAAGTCCAATGATCAGAACACAATAAAAAGAAAACAAAACGTCATAAAACAACGTCTTTCCTTATTCAAAAAGCACATAAAATACAGACACCCATATACAAACACTCGCACAATCACACACATGCATACACCTTGATCGAGGAAGTTCTTTCAAACAAACCTGCGGTGTGAAGAACGAGTCTCAGAGGACTCGGAGAGCTTGATCCTGATCCAGATCCTGAGTCACGCTGCTTTCTTCAAATACTGTGAGGATCACCTTACCGATAAAATACATTTCTTCTTCGTTTCGGCAACGGAAATAGCATGAAAATAGAATAGTTATACGAAGACGAAAATGAAAGAACGCTTCACAAGTGCCCGCATGGTGAAGGGTACCAGGACGTTTTACCGCTTTGTACCGCTCGACTCCCACACCATAGCAGCCTTCAAGCTCTCAGAGTCTTCTGAGACTCGTTCTTCACACCGCGTGTGTCACTGAGGTTTGTCTGAAAGAACTTCCTCGAACAAGATGTATGTATGTGTGTGTTTGTGCGAGTGTGTGTATATCGGTGTGTGTATTTTATCTGTGCCTTTTGAATAAAGAAAGACGTTGTTTTATGACGTTTTGTTTTCTTTTTATGGTGTTCTGATCATTGGAATTACCAAACAAATAAAATGCGCCCCCTTCAAAGAACACAATGCTGTGTTAGGTCATTGACCTAATGTGACCTTGACCCGGCCCATACCTACTCAAAAACATCACCAATGTATTCTCCGTGAAGTTCGCTTTCATACGACACCCATATTGCCTATGATTCACGACGTTCTGGGCAGATGTCATTTTATGTCAGGTCATGACCACATTGTTGACCTTAGTTTGAGGTCAACGGGTCCGATATACCAACCAAATCACATACCACTATTGAGAGCATTGATAAGACATCTCTGAGGGAAAAAATCAGAATTTTTAAAATAGGACAAATTTGAAAGGTCACGAGGTCAAGAAAACGTTACAAGGTCACGAGGTCAAAAAATGACTTTTGGGTTTCATTCACATTTTTGCTAGACGCACCAGTCTATGCGCTTATTATTTCATATATAACTTTTCTTGATCCGGTGAACCGTTGCAGATATAAAAAATACTTTATATTTCAATATTCCGGAAAACCTTAAAATTTGCATGACCCATATCTCCTGACCCCTGTGACCTAGAGACTAAAAATTCACTGGGAGGTAGTAGTGCCCATAGGTCAGCTTGTATGCCAAATTTGAGCGAAATCGGAGAGGTCATGGTGAACATGCCTAGGTGATCTGTCATGGAATTGCCATCATATGATGATCGGCGAAGGTTTCGGTGACGCTGATGAGACTGTGTGTGTCTGTTTGTCTGCCTGCCTACCTGCCTGTGTTTGTCTCTCCGCCTGTCTCCCCATCCCCTCTGGCTATCTAACCTTCCCCCTCTCCCCGTTTCTCAGATGCTGCTGATGATCGGCGAGGGTTTCGGAGACGCCGGTGAGACAGTCTGTGGAGCGGTGGTCAACATCCGGAACAAGGGAGACAAGATCGCCATCTGGACCGGGGACGCCAAGCGGGCCGAGGAAATCACCAAAATCGGGTGAGGAGGATGGGAGGGAAGTGGGGGAAGAAGGGAGCGCAATGTAGGGAGGAGGGGGAGGGGGTTACAAGGGGTGTAAGAGTCGAATGGAACGGAGACGGCAAACGGGCCGAGATCACCAAATTCGGATGAGGAAAGGGAGGGGGAACGAAGGAAGGGACCTAATGCTTGAAAGCGTAGCCGACTCAATGAGTGAATGAATGAATGTAAGAATGAATGACTTATGAATGAATGAATGAATGAATGAATGAATGAATGAATGAATGAAAGAGAGAATGAATTGTGAGTGAATAAACGAAAGAATGAATTGTGAATTAATCTGGGATGGGGAGAATCGGGGTGAATGGGGAGTACTTAGAGAGAGAGAGATAGACTGTTAACGAAACGATGAATGGGTCTCTTTAGTCCCTGGCTGGTGCTATCTGTGAAACAAAATCATCATTTCTTTTCTTCTTTTCCCGAAGTCTAAAAACTGACTCTTCCCTCAGTCTTGTAGCCGTCCCACAGCCAACATTAGCCCCCCCCCCGCCCCCAATCTCACTGGCTATCCCCTTTTGCCTCCTCTACCTCCTCCTCCCTCTCCCTTTCCCTCTCCTCTCTCTCTCTCTCTCTCTCTCTCGCTCTCTCGCTCTCTCGCTCTCTCGCTCTCTCGCGCTCTCTCGCGCTCTCTCGCGCTCTCTCGCGCTCTCTCTCTCTCTCGCGCTCTCTCTCTCTCTCTCTCTCTCTCTCTCTCTCTCTCTCTCTCTCTCTCTCTCTCTCTCTCTCTCTCTCTCTCTCGAGTCTAGACTTACACCAACCTCTCCCATCTTTACTAACAACTATCTGCAGCTGTCTCTTACCCCTCCCCGCCCCAATCCCTATGAACCTGACACCACTCTCTCCCCCTCCATCCACAGTCAGCGTCTGAAGGAGGTCCTCAACATCAACCCCAAGATCACTATCGGCTACCAGGCCCACTCCGATACGATGGTGAAGTCTGGGAGCATCGCCAAGAACCGCTATGTCGTCTAACAGCGCCGTGCGAGGCTGGGGAGGCGCCGCCGCCGATGGTGATGATGCTGGTGCTGAAGTTGATGTTGGTGAGGGTGATGAAGTTGGTGATGCTGATGTTGTTGATGCTGATGCAGTTGATGCTGAAGCTGGAGTTATGATGTTGCCGGTTGAGTCTGCCAAGCACCGTCTGTCTCAGTTAAGTTGGTTACTACCTGGTTGACCAACCGTTTAGCCTGGCGTAAGGCTGGAAAGCCCGACTACGACGACGGCTGATAACTTTGTGGGTGATAGATCGGTCCGTGATAGACTGCCAGAGCAAGGGAGCCTGTGGCGGGAAGGCAATCAGTACCACCATCAACAATAGCAACGGCGACATCAACATGAACAGCATTAGCATCAACAAGAACTGCCAGCGTGTACGCTTGCTAAATATTACTCGCACGTTGTGGGGTTTTTGAAAGCCCTATTGTGTCGGTGCATATCGGGTGTTTGCGGGTCTAAACGTCTCAACCTGGGGCGCTCGTTAGCATAGACGGAAAACCGGCTGTTTCGTGTCAGAAGCCATGACAGAGACTGTCCTTGTTGGGCTTGAGAGCCCTCGATTATTACATACATTGTGTCATATTTGAAAAAAGAGTCCGGGCAGCAAAAAAAAAGCATCAACAAGAACAGCATCAGCAGCAACATGAGCATCATCAACTTCAACAGCAGCAGCAGCAGCGGCGGCGGCGGCGGCGGCGACCCCATTCGCCGCTCTACAGCAGTGTATAGGCTGGGCGGCGCGGTGCCCCCAAAGGGCTCTACGCTCGGAGCCCATAAGGCAAGGTTATGCAGTGGACCGGTCGCCGCAGTGCTAAGGACATTAATGGGTTGGGAAGACTCGATGTGACGGAGGGCGACGGTGGCGCCGCGCGGCGGCCGGTCGGCAAAACTGCTGCCTGTGATAGTGACACGAGGGAGAGTGGTGGAGAGAGGGAGAGTGGAGAGTGAGGAGAGACAGAGAGAGGAGCGAGCTAGCCGGCGAGGAGCGGCTCGTGTGAAAAAGCTGTGTAACGCGTTCGGGCGAAAGTGGTGGCTGTTTTGAAGCCGACGCAGCGCTTGTAAAGCGAGCGTTTGATAAAGAAAGGCGTGTGGTGTGGAGTTGTGTTGGCCGCAGGCTAGCCAGCGTATAAACGAGCGAAGGAGCGAGCTAAAATCGTGACAAGGGAAAGAGAGAGAGGAGAGACTACTGCGGCGTTTGTTGCGTTCTTGAGGCGATTCGCCTCAAAACCCGTGTGCTGTCTTCTCCAAGGTATGTTCTTTGTGTAACCTGAAGTGAGAGCGTTGTATAGACGAGAGCGAGAAAGAGGGTGGGAGGGACGGCCGGAGGGGCCCCGAAGAGGGGCTCGGAGGCTGCACTGCCGAGGCCGCCACCTGCCGGCGAAGTGGCGAAGCTAGCCACTTGGGCTCGTAGAAATCCGCGGTGTATGTAGCCTATCATTATTGTTGCTGTGTTTAATAAGTATGTGTGTGTGTGAGTTTGAGGTTGTCCATGTTGGTAATTCTAATAGAGATATGGTTACTTTGGATCAGCTGCTTGTGTTGAATGGACGAGATGCAGCGAGGGTAATGGGTAATGAATACGCATGACGCGTTGCGTACAACCGGGAGTGTTTGGTTTTCTTGTCGGTTAGATAATCTTTTTTATCGTTTATTATAAACTTGGGCCGTAATATAATCGAAATTCTGTCATAAGGGACGTATGAAGTTATCTTGGCAGATTTTATGTTGGCGTGCGTTTGGGTTAGATCAGTTGGGCTTCATGTTGGTTAATCGGTACGCCTGAGCGCTAGTCTTACAGGCAGCTTTTGCCAAATTGTCAGGGAACTCAGATTTGTTTTTCAATAGAAAAACAATTCTAAAGAATAGTGTTTTAACTATTGACAACAAACCTTCGGTTATTTACAGTGCATCTGGTGCGAGTTCCATACATGAGTCCGCTATTGAAGAATAGGATAAAGCTAACGAACACGAAGTGAACGCTGGAACGAACACTGGAAGCGCAACTCGTACTTTTGAACTTATGACAGTAATATGAGTGACTTATGATGAGACATGCTACTGGGTAACTAAGCACTCGGTTATAGTTAAAACATTTTGTGTGCTTTTTAAGTTTCTTAGAACTACGTGCTATGCGATCTACGACTGATTATTTATTTTCGTTCATCAAATCGTGAATGGCATGTTACAAACCATACCTTTGCCGATCACTCGAAAAGGTTAACTTAATTAAATTAGGTGAATAATTTGGCGGAAGTGGTTCACCCTCGAACCGCAGGTGCAACTGCATTTGTTCAAAACGTGAAGCTCAGCGAAAAATATTTCGATTTTCGGGTTTGTTAATTTTGAGTTTCATGCTTAATTATTTTTCGTTTACCTTGGTCAGATGACTGATAAATTAATATGTTAGATATGTAATGTGTCTGATTTTTGTTTCGATAATGGCTCCTGACAAATTCGGCACCGTCCTGTTTTTAAGTGTTATCATTCAGTTCACCAGTCTCACGCACTCTTACAATGTTGACGAAAACTTCATGAAACAACTAGAAGAGTACAAGCAAAGGTATCACGAAATAAAAAATGCAGAGCAAAAGTATACAGGCGCAAAGGAGATACCATATGGTGAGCTTAAACCTTACTTTGATATTACAATTCCTGAGATACGTGAAATGTACGATGACAGCGTGAAATCTTACGTGTACAAATACTACGTCGACAAGAATGTTCAGGTGTACAAGAAGTACCTATTCCAGCAAGTCATCGACGAATGGTTTCTGCACGTGCCATGCTACACAATGAAGGACATCGGCGCGGGAGCCGCTCTTAAATGCCCTCCCGACAATCCTGACCTTGGGAAGGGTCAATTCGGCATTCCATTCAAAGGTTCTGCCTGCGTTACCGATCAATTCGGTTGCTCCCTTCAATACCTCCCATCCTACGAAATGTACGTCATTTCGATCGACGACCTGCGTCGTTGCGGGCCCGGCATGATCCACTCATTCGTGGCCAAAACTCTAGGCGTGCGCAGTCCGATCCAAGAGCCCGATCGAAACGAGCACGTCACTGTCAACTTTGAAAACGTCGACATTGGCCTGCTTCCTTCATCCTTCGATGATCACAGCTGGCGCGAATTGGTCGCTCCGCAGTTGGAGGATCTCGACAGCTGTCGCAAAACTACCGAGGAGATTTACCAGATGAAGACAGCCACCTTCCCGAAAGGAATCTTCGACTATGGTTCGGTGCTCGTACCAGGAACTTTCCAGTACTCCGACCCCCTCGATCCGCGGGCCGTGACCGTCACCAAAGAAATCTACGAACAAGTACGACTGGACCGCTCCAAATACGGTCACGACTTCCGCCTAGCGCTGACGGGAAACGACCTCTTCCGCATGCGCTTGTTCTTCACGTGTGGCGTCAACGGCAAGTGCTTCCACAAGAACGGCGTCTGCAAGAACATGGGCTTCGTCGGGGCCAGTCCCCTTCTCGACATCGGCTTTAAACACGACCAGGGTGTCAGTTGTGAATGTTTTTGCCCCTACTCTGACCTCAAAGGACAATTCTGTGAGGTCAACGCCTTCATGAAGTATAAATTCCTGGACACGAAGGCGATGTGCTTTAAGTTTATCACGAAAAACGGTAAATTTGATGTCGAGGAAGAGCGAGGGGAGCTGGAGACAGAGCGAGGGAGGAACGTGCTCGCACCCGGCGCAAAAAGCTCGTTCGTCTACGCCAAGAAGGACATCTTCTCTGATGCGGTAAGTACCGTAATTAATAAATTAAAATAAAAGTTAATGTGCGTAAAGTTAATCATTTCGTTATCAGTTGCCGAACTCTGAAAATTCGTTATGTGAAGTGCCATTTGATGATTCGCAGCACTTGCATGTGCCCTGAGAATGCGTGTGACAGTGTCCGCGTTTCCCTATGAGACTTTATAATATTACCTCTGTACCGCTTCCCTCGATTTTCTCTGTATCGTAGTCCCATGATCCCTACATTACCCAACTTACCCTAAGTTACCCCATGACCCCTCGTTACCCCATAACCCCACGTTACCAAACAACCTCACGTTACCCCATGACCCCTCGTTACCCCATAACTCCACGTTACCCCATAGCCGCACCTTACCCCTTACCCCTTACCCCACCACAGGAAGCCGGCCAGCTGACCCAAGACCAGGACAAACTGGTGGCCATGTTCCATCCTCCTGCCGAGATGAAGAAAATGGGCGGCCTGGCCGTGGCGCCGGATGTGTGGGTCTCAAAACAATGGTAGGTGAAAAGGATAGAGGGATGTATCATGAAGAAAATGGGAGGAGTGGTCTTCAAACAATGGTGGGTAGATAAACGGTAAATGGTTATCGTAATAGCCAAGGCCAGTGCTCAATGTTATAAACGGGTGAACTTTGATGTTAATGGCATTTGGTAACGTCTATGACAATGATAACGACTTCGAGCTCGAGGATAACTCTTGAGCTCAAGAAAATGTATTTTCATCTATAGTCTGACCTTTGACCTCTAGCATGACCTTCGAATTTTAGTCTAGCATTTCATGACCTTTGATATTTGTCGTTTGATGTGCCCTTTGTTATCTAGCATGACCTTTGATGACGACTAGTCTAACCTTTACCGATAGTCTCGACCTCTGACCGATAGCCGTGGCCCGTGACATCTGAACCCAGTCTGACCTATGACCCCCAATTTGACCTCTGCTGACCTCACTGCTCGCCTCAGGTGCACGTTTATTTGGGCCCCACAGGCCACCAAGAGAGCCGTGGTTACCGTCGACCCGTCTCGACTCTGGGAGTCAAAGGTAAGAGTCACGACTCTGGGAGTCAGAGGTAAGAGTCACGACACTTGACCAAGGGATAATAAGTGTTGCGATTTTGGTAGTCAAGGACTTCAGTCACTAGTGTTAATTTAGACAAACGTCGGAACTTTATTGACAGGTCGCGACTTTTAACTTTGACTTTGCCATAGCTCCAGAGTAAGAGCCTGTGGAGTCCAATAAGAGTCACGCATAGAATGTTTTGAAGCGGAGACGATATTCCTGGCTTGTGACCAAACTATTGCTGAATTTTGATTTTGAAAACGTATGCAACGCATCACGCAAGATAACACACCCTTTTGATACCAAATGCCTTACGTAATACGTATCCCATAGTCACAAGAGGCACTGTCCACAATCCCTCATTGCACAGTAACGAACGTTTACTTCCTCCAACAGGAATTCACGCAGGCACTTCCCGAGATCACTAAAAGTCTCATCGAGAAGCGGGGCGACTGTCAGCGCGCGCTGAAATTCGTTCATTCACACGGCCCGGATCCAGCCAAACTGCGAGTGAAGTGCTTCTCGATCATCTACTTTAGTCCTGAGAGACCGTATATGATATGGAGTAATACCAGTGCGCTTTCGGCCTACATCTACTGGGATTGGTGAGTGAAATGCGGAGGGAGAGAAGGATGTACTTACATACTTAGAAATTGGGTGATAATGAGGTTTTTATTGCTTTTACTTCTTGTCTTGGGTGATCAGGAAAGACAGGGGCAACAGCCGAGACTTATAAGGTGTTAGAAGAACGGGATGGGATAGAGTGGCATTCTTAGTGGCTCGATTGGTTAGTAATGTAGGGAAAGAACATTTGGTTGCCCTAATGAGTGAGTGACCTATTGAAGACAACGCTAGTTTCGAAAAAGTATGAAGAAAAGATTCCTCACATGGCAACGGGTGCGGATTCAAGACAAACCATGCAAATGTATCCGAGTATTTACCCATCCCGATAAAAGCTACCGATTCTTTCCTTACAGAGCCAATCTCTTCGGTGATAGCTAGTCCTTCTTCTGTTCTACGTAATCCACAAAATGACTCCTGCACTGCGTCTGGTATTCCAGGTATCTTTCTCAGGGTATTGCCCGCCAGCTGAAGCACGCTATGAAGCTCACACTGATCACTAAGTTCGAGTTGGCGCCCGATCAGACCCTAGGAGCCAAACCGTCCGGACCGCCGCCAAAACTGGTGGAGAGACCCGATCCGCCGGTAAGGAGAGAGGGTGAGAGGGTGAGAGAGAGAGAGAGAGAGAGAGAGAGAGAGAGAGAGAGAGAGAGAGACAGAGACAGAGAGAGAGAGAGAGAGAGAGAGAGAGAGAGAGAGAGAGAGAGAGAGTGAGAGAGAGAGAGAGAGTGAGAGAGAGAGTGAGAGAGAGAGTGAGAGAGAGAGAGAGAGTGAGAGAGAGAGTGAGAGAGAGAGAGAGAGAGAGAGAAGAGGAAGAGGGAAGGAGGGAGAGATGGTAAGGAGGGAAATGGTTTGAAAAAAGGTTCTGATTGTCTGAAATCAATTAATTTGTGCCACACGGACTGGCCGTGGGATTATCCCATGGGACTATATACAGTTTACCCCCCCCCCCCAACTTGTCACCGTTCCCCATCAGGGCGGCGGAGTCGGAGTCGGTCGGAGTCGACAGTTGTGACCGGAGTCGGAGTCGGAGTCGGAGTCGATTTTAGAAACCCGAGCCGGAGTCGGAGTCGGAGTCACCGAAAATCTATCGACTCCGCAGCCCTGCTAGGTCTGCGGAGTCAGAGTCGGGAGTTGGAGTCGGTCGGAGTCGACAATTCTGCCCGGAATCGGAGTCGGAGTCGGAGCTGGTTTTTGAAAGCCGGAGTCGGAGTCGGAGTCGGAGTCGCCGAAAATCCATCGACTCCGCAGCCCTGTTCCCCATTGACGAGTGCGTTCAGTTTACCTACCCGTTCGTCTTTTCATCCTCCGACCCGACTCTTGCTGTTGTTTTCCATTGCCAACTCAGCCTCGCTCAGCCCGCTGATGACTTCTCTGTTCACTACCGCCGTTTTCCGTCAATAATTTCCCCCTCACTTCCACAACACTAACTCAGCCCCGTTCCCAGACTCGCTAACTCCTCATTTCTCCCCTTTTCCCGACGAACAGATGCTCAAAGGCACCACCGAGGCGTGGATGAACCCCGCCTATCCAATGCAAGACTGGTTCGCCACTGTCAAGGCGGACAACTCGAAGAAGATAGCGCTCTTCGTGGTCGGTCTATTACTCACATTGGCTATGCTGGGAGGCGGCGGATATCTTCTCTATTACTTTGTGTGAGTAGGTAGACGCCCCGTGTGCTTCTTTATGTTTGGCGCCCCAACGGTTGTTCGGTGGGTTAACAGTCAGTCTGTATTAGGATTGAGGATTTGAATGGGTTGGTTCCGGGAACGAAAGAGCATCTCTTCTGGAAAACAAACTTGCTTATGGTGAGATTTCAGCATCGCCTTCTAGCCTATAAAGCTGTGAAATTTCACAGGATTCGTTCACTCAATTTAGAAAATGTAGAATCATGTTTGATCGTCTTGGCAGAACGTTTATGTTGGTGAGCGGTTATTGGCCAGCGATCAATCCCGAAAGTTTCACCGAATGTTTGTTGAAATGATAAATGTCTAAATTATTTTTGAATTTCTCTCACAGCGTCATCAAACCAACTCTGGACGACGACACGGGCTATGAAAAGGTCGAGACGGCCTATAACACACCCGGAGAGGCGACTACACCAGCCGGAGGTAGTTCAGAGGGCCTCAAACTGGACTGAGAAACCGACGCACCGCGACAACGCCATCTATTGACGGAGAGTGCGTTAGCGATGGGGGTGACATTTATGGAGTGGTGGAGGAACTTTCGGTCGGTTAGGATGAACGAGCGGTCGATACGAAATATTTTTTATGAAATAAATGATGTTTTTTTTACATTCATCTCGAACATTTCGTTCTATAATTTGGTTATTTGTAAACGGATTGTAAATGTGTTGTTGGCTGGACAGTGGACGTGTCTCTAATTCACGAACCAGTAAAAGTACAATGATGTAAGTTTCATAACTCACTTTAGCGTTTACCCATGATGCATTGCAGTCTCTTTCAAAGTGTGAAATATGTGAAGGCGAAGAGGTTTGACAAAGTGAAAGTGATAAGTAAGTTGTAACGGTGATTTGAACAGCCGACTTTGCAGAGAACGATCTTTAACCCATCCGCCCTCTTCAATGCCCAAAAATCGCTTTTATATTCATGTCCGATGTATTTGTACAATGATTCGCCCATGTAAGCATTGACTCGGACTTTGGGACGAAAAGCAGCACTGAGAGATCGCCTGAGGCTCTCTAACCGACGAAGAAAACAAGTCTTCACTGGAAACACCAGCCGTGATTGGGGCTCCCTTATCGACAAAGAAAACGCCACGTGATTCGCACAACATGGCTGATGTTCGAATTTCGAAATAGCTTCTTCAAGCAATAACGCAATAACGATGTTTTTCACGCAGGCAGCTAACCTTAGTGGTTTGGTTTAGAACGTGCGATTAATTGACTGGTCTGTGACGTCATATGACATATTTGCGACGTCGCTATACCGTATTCAGGCGTTGCAGGCGGCTTCATTCATCCTTTGCAGTGATGGAAGCTGTCTGGAGTGTTACTTCTTTCTTGGGATGCGCTTTGGAGGCACCCACCTGTAAAAAGGAGAATTGTTAGATCATTTCGAAGGATCATGATATAGCACATCCACAACTACGAACCAAGCGAGCGCAGTGATCGGGGATGCCCGGCAGGATGGTGCCGCGCCTGCGGCGAAGAGGCCGACACCCCGGACCATGTCCTTCTGCGGTGCCCGGCGCTGATGAACGCCCGGCTCCGCATCTCCGGCACCATCTTCCCGAGCCTGAGCGACGTGCGACGAGACGACGCGGTGGCGGCCCTGGCGAGGGTCGCCAGGTACCTCCAGAGCCGTTAGGCTACAGCTCACCAGAGCCTGGAGGGACAACACAACAACAACAACAACCAAGCGAGCGAAAGACAACGTATCGCCTTTTATCCTCAGGGTAGGAGCGGCCTGTCGTACTGACTTAAAAGTCACCGTCCAGCACAAGAAGAAGATCTATTCTGATCCTTGCGTCACGCTACATCACCCCCTGGTTCTGAAGAACCACATTACTCTACATGTTACATGTCATTCAATCAACGCATCAACTACATCCTCTGGCACACCATCGCCATATCTTTCCGGCTCTCTTCGAACACGCGTACCACGCCGCAGCGTCGCAGGCACGAACGTTTCACTCTCGTCTGCGGACACATCGGACCCGGTCGGTGGATCGGGGTTCGGGGACTGAGCGACGCTGGGCGGCCGCGTGTCCGACTCCGTCACATCACTCGGAGCTGGCGACACACACACGCCATCACACTCGCTGTCATCAGACCACTCCACCGTTGGCGCTCGCAGAGCCCCTGGCCTCGGACATTCAGGGACGGTCAACCGATGTCGGAGGTTTCGCACATGTCGTGGGACATTATCGACTTCGATTGTCTGGGCCGAAACGACGCCTGTCACAATACCCTCGTCTGACTTTACAAAACATCGGTCGCCCCGCCGCCGAACCCACACCTTGTCCCCTACCTGGTATACACCGGGTTTCTTCAGCGGCAGGGCGTCACCAGGCTCGTCTGAGGTTCTGCGGGGCGTCACGTCAACGTCTCGGCCAGGGTGTCGAAGCACCCCGTTGATTGGAGCTGTGGCCGGGTCACTGCCATCCTTCGGTGTCACGTTGTATCGATGGACTGCTTCAGCAACGGAGCAGGACTGCCGGGCCACCATCACTTTGATGGTACGATGATGGCGCTCGACGATGCCGTTCCCGCCGGGCTCGTAGGCAGCGCGGAACCGGATGGATACGTCCCAGCGAGCCGCGAACGCTAACATGACCCGGCCACGGAACTCTGTCGCATTGTCCGTGAGTATTTCCGCCGGGGCTCCACGCTCTAGAAACACGTTCTCCAGCTCACTCACAATCTCCAGAGCTCCTGCCCGGCGAAGCCGTCGCCATATGGCGTACCTCGACGGCCCGCAGTCCACCAGCGTCAGGTATGGGTGGCCGTGCACGTGGGTGACATCCATGGCCAGGCGATCCCACGTGCGTTCTGTTCCGAGTGACCCACCGGGCCAGCGCTCCGGCGCCGGGTCAATCGAGGCACACGTCTGGCATCGTCTGACCACGTCTCGCACAGCTGGTTTTGACACCCGCCTCACCCCCAGCTCACGTCGGGCGTACCACAACGTTCTCCTCACTCCTTGGTGACCGATGTTTTCGTGGATGGTGCGGATGTCACTCGCTGAGGCACTTGTGATGGCAGCGACAGCCACCGGTTGTGCTTTGGACGAATCAGTGGTTGGCTGGTCGGCAGTCTGCAGCCAGGCGTTGGGCACCCGCGTCACCTCATCAGCACGGTTGACCGCTGACGCGACCAGCTCGATAGTGACCTCCAGTTCGTACTCGATGACGAGCTGACGGAAAACAGCCACGCGCCGTCGGATAAGCATTTCGGACTGCGCCTTGGTTCGCAGCCTTGCCTTACCCGACAGCGCGTCACTCAGCCAGCGGTGCACCGTCACCGAGTCTGTCCGGAGCGTCAGGCGACGGAAGCCCCATGCTACCGCCAGGTTGACACCGTTGAGAGCGGCATCCAGTTCTGAGATATTGATGTGCACGTCCCTCTCCGATTCGGCACGCAGCCAGGACGCGTCCTCGATGATGGCGCCCGTGTCAGGGTCAGTGAGCACGACACCGCGGGCGATGGAGCTGGCGTCGGTCCACACCACGACGCTCGTCCCTGTCACACACCACTGGCCGCGTGCCGGGTCACATGCTCGAAACCGCCGTGACACCTCATCCACCTCACGTTGTAGTTCCTCGCTGACGATCGGAGTGTCCCAGTCCGGGCTGAGGCGGTTGGCAGTCCGCTTCATCCATGCAGCGGCCGGCCGCAGCCAGCCTGCGACCGGCACATGAGATGTCAGCTGGCCGGCCCACGCGAAGACAGATCGCCGCGTTAGCACGGGTGGAGCCTGCGTTGGTGACTCCCCGTCCCTACTCCACTGGAGTGCCGGCCCGTCGCTCTCGGCGACACGAAGGCCCAGCATACGTGCACCGGTCGCGACCCGCTCCGGCGGCTTGCATGTGAGCCCGAATCGAGCGAAGTGCTCGGCAACCTCATCAGCCGAGACCACCGCTTCGTTGACCAGCAGATCATCGGCGTAAGGCAGCACTGCCTCTGCCAACCCGGGGCTCTGTGCGAGCACCTTCCTGACCACAGCCTTCATGATCAGAGGCGCGATACTGAGCCCAAAGCCGACCCTGGTCAGGCAGTACCGCCGCCCTTGCACGATGACTGTCTGGTACGGCCACAGGGCCGGGTCCACACGAAGCTGAAGAAAAGCTTTCTTCAGATCCAGGACAGCGACCCGGCGTCCGTGACGTCGCCACCTTCGCAGCTCTTCCACGCAGACGTCAGCGTCGGCTGTGTGACGTGTCAGGTGTTGATTGAGTTCCCGATAATCTAACACCGGCCGCACCTTGTCCTTCGCTGCCTGAGTAACCACCATCAACGGGATCAATCCCTGTGCGGGACCGTACATCGTCTCATCGTATTCGCGCAGCCAGCCCTCACTAATCCACAGCGCCAGCTCTGCATCGAATTTTTCACGCGCACAACTCGGCACACCGTACTGAGCTATCGAGTTTCCAAGCGGGGGCGGAGCCACGCCACCGGCCCATTTCCAACGGACTGTCCACACATCATCGAACACAGCCGTGAAGTCAGTCTCGTCAATCCTTAGCTCCGGCTCCGTGTCGACCGCTCGACACACCTCCCGCTCCGGCGGGACCTCACGCTGCACCACAGCAGCCGTGTCGACCGCACGACACACCTCCCGCTCCGGCGGGGCCTCACGCTGCACCACAGTAGCCGTGTCGACCGCTCGACACACCTCCCGCTCCGGCGGGACCTCACGCTGCACCACAGCAGCCGTGTCAACCGCTCGACACACCTCCCGCTCCGGCGGGGCCTCACGCTGCACCACAGCAGCCGTGTCGACCGCTCGACACACCTCCCGCTCCGGCGGGGCCTCACGCTGCACCACAGCAGCCGTGTCGACGCTCGCAACTGGGTTGTCGCTCCCGAAGCGAACGGATCCTCCACTTACACTCACGCCCTGCAGGGCGTCAATGCCGGTCATGCCCAGCAACACGTCTACGCCCAGCAACCGGGCCGGTACGACGACCGCCCGCACACTCACTGTCGCCCCGCGCACTCCAAGGCTGACCACAGCCCGCCCACAGCACAGCACCGGGCTGTCGTTGACAGCGACCAAGCTGGCGTCACTCCGCTCCCAGCAGGACACCATGCCCTTCCACACCACTGTCTCGCTGCACCCTGTGTCGACGAGTGCTCGGCACTTGCGCCCATTTACATTAATGTCGATGATGGGGGCTCTTGGGTCACTGCGGCAGCTGGCGACGGCGGAGCCCGTGGCGCTGATGTAGCGCCGTCGCCGTGCCCGTTTGGGCAGAGCCGGGCGATGTGGCCTACCTGGTTACAGGTCCAACACCGCAGTGGTGGACGGCGACCCGTCCCTCTGGCTCCCCGCTGCTGCTGTACATATGATGGCGGCGGCTGGACGACAGCCACCGATGCAGTCGCTCTCTCCCTGGCCGCCATCGCCAACGTTGACCTAGCGACGGCGACGGCTCGCTCCAAGGAGAGAGTTTCATCTCCAGCACTGTTACGTACTGTTAGCCGCACCTCCGGCGGCAGACCTTGCAGGAAGTGCGTCGTCATCACTTCGTTGGACACTGAACCTATGAGGGATATCAGCCGCTTGACTGATCCCAGGTAGGCATCCACAGACTCGCCCGGTTGTAGACGTCGGTGATACAGCTCATACATAGCCGCGTCGGGTCCCAATGCAAATGCACGATGCAGTTTTTGGCGGACGATTGCAGCATCCCGCTGCTCGGTGGAGGAGAGGGTGGCCCACACCTCGTACGCCTGGTCCCTCAGGCGTGTGGGTATGACAGCGGCCAGTGACACACGACGCAGGGCACACAGCTGTGTCGCCTGCTCCAGCCATCTGACGACGTCACCGCTGCCGTCGAACTCCGGTATTGCCCGCAGATCGAATGCAGGCGCAGGAAACTCTGGTTCCATGGTATTGGTACCAGCTACCGGTGCACCACTGCCCTCTTCTACGTCAGACATAATCACAACACTTAGTCGAGAAGGCCGAAATAGCTTGTCGTACTGACTTAAAAGTCACCGTCCAGCACAAGAAGAAGATCTATTCTGCTCTCCTCTACACCTTCCAGCCAACTAAACTCACAATCCCCCTCCTGGCACATCCACAGCTCGCAGACACACATCTCACATCATCACCAACCAATCGCGCTGTCATACGTCATATATCTCACATCATAACCAGCCAATCATGCTCCCATACGTCATGCCCGGCCCAACTACTTGCAGGGTGTAACTCGGCCCTGCCGGCATCAGATGCCGGCGGCTATGACCAACGCTGGGTCACCGGTTCACAGCTCGACGCTGAAGCTGACTCACACTTATACGGCTCACATTCATCCTTGCGTCACGCTACACGGCCGCCTACGAAGTCGCCTGACAACTCAAACATTCACTGTTACCCCTCCCCCTTGTTGTAGCACGAACGACCTTTGTAACAGATAACTGAACGTCGGCACCTGTAAGATTCAGACGCGATGCAGCGTCGTGGGTTATGAGAGATACATTCGCACCCGAGTCCCACAAAACAGACAATTTGTTTTCCTTACAACGGACATGACTCACTGCTAGCAACGTTTCTTGCCTTCCATTGTCGGTCATGACCTATCTTGCCCGTCCTGGGTCGGACTGGGCGGTCGTCCTTGCCTCCGACAGGTCAGTATTGGCTATTGGCTGAGCAGCAGTGACACTAAAGCTACGAGTGCGGTGTGCTCGTATAGTACGGGCGAAAGACGTGTGGTGACTGTTATGTGCGGGAATTCGAGCGTTGGAGCGGCGATCTCAGTGGATCTCACGACAACAAAATGTCAGGCGAGTCTTTGCAGCACACTGACACGTCCCTTCATCACTCTACATGACTGGTCTGAAACACTCTTTCTGCAGTCAGAAAATCGCACCAGACAGCCTATTAAAATAAATTATTCGCGTTAATCGTACGCACCTCTCTGTATACGATTAACGCGAACAACTGCTTATGTATCTGAATAGGCTCTCGGATAAGATTTCCTGACTGCGGAAAGGGTCTGTTTCAGCCCTTCGACAAAAAATATATACACAAAGAAGCTGAAAGAGAAAAATCCTTCCACCCTCTCTTACCTGAGACACGTGGTATCGACCGAAAGCCGTGGCCTCCGGAACTCGTCAGAGCGAATGTGGTCCTCGATCAGCTTTGGAGTTACACAGAGAACGTGTTGACCTGACGGGGGAGCGGCACAGAGACACACGGGGTCAGTTATTTGGGGGGAGAGAGAGCGAGAGAGAGAGAGAGAGAGAGAGAGAGAGAGGGAAGAGAGAGAGAGAGAGAGAGAGAGAGGGGAGGGAGAGCGAGAGAGAGACTCCGGGGCATTCCCGTAGTCATAGCGTGTTATTCGGGGATGTCGAAACGCATTGTCATTCGGAAAAAAGTTGGCATTGGGAGGGGAGGGGCATCATCCACTTCGATTCATCCACTACAAAGGTGTAAATAGCAAACACTACAATCAAGATGTTTTTTTGGGAACCCACTACTATTTTTTATAAAAAGCAATCAATAGGACACAATCACTCATATCCAGTCAGCACTTCGATTTTGCACCAAAGATTTCGCCCCATTGGACCTCGAAGTCGCGTGGGAATAGCTTTTTTCGAACTCTCGATAAGCTGGCTTTACTTATTTTCTCCTCCCATTCTATTCAATATCACCGGCACTGAACGACTTAAAGTGACCATCCCACCTTAACATTAGTTTTGAGTTGAGATAGCCAAATTGGTGGCCATGGCCTGCAAATACCGGTTTGGGCACTCACAACCAGGGCTGCGGAGTCGATGGATTTTCGGCGACTCCGACTCCGACTCCGACTCCGACTTTCAAAAACCAGCTCCGACTCCGACTCCGACTCCGGGCAGAATTGTCGACTCCGACCGACTCCAACTCCCGACTCCGACTCCGCAGACCTAGCAGGGCTGCGGAGTCGACAGATTTTCGGTGACTCCGACTCCGACTCCGGCTCGGGTTTCTAAAATCGACTCCGACTCCGACTCCGACTCCGGTCACAGCTGTCGACTCCGACCGACTCCGACTCCGACTCCGACTCCGACTCCGCAGCCCTGCTCACAACTTCGAAAAATGCTTTACTTCGGAGATATGGAATTTCAAACTTGCAGTTTTCGGATTCTAAGGGGCTAATGCATTAAGATGCCCCCTTAGAATTTGTGACGTCAGCGGTGAACTAATGATTTTAAAACCCTATACTAACATCTTTGTGAAGCAGTGGTGGTATATGCTATTTGCGCGCAACATCTGTCGCAAACGCCGCACTTCCAAAATGAAGTCGCTAGAAACAGCGGAGATCCCAAAAAAGTAAACAAAAGTAAAAGTCTAATATCTTGAAAACCGGTGAATATTTTTCGGTGAAATTTGGTAGCTATTCGTTTTTGCCCTTTCTGAACCGAGCGACATCACTTTCATGCCAATTCATTAACTTTTTTGAAGGTGGGAGGCAGGACTGCGGAGTCGGAGTCGGAGCCGGAGTTGGAGTCGGTCGGAGTCGACAATTCTGACCGGAGTCGGAGTCGGAGTCGGAGTTGGTTTTAGAAACCGGAGCCGGAGTCGGAGTCGGAGTCACCGAAAAATCCATCGACTCCGCAGACCTGGCAGGGCTGCGGAGTCGGAGTCGGGAGTTGGAGTCGGTCGGAGTCGATAGTTCTGCCCGGAGTCGGAGTCGGAGTCGGAGTTGGTTTTTGGAAGCCGGAGTCGGAGTCGGAGTCGGAGTCATTGAAAATCCATCGACTCCGCAGCCCTGGTGGGAGGGTCCCTTTAAGATGAGCCATAAAAGTGGGTTATCTTACCTTTCCAGTATTTGAGCATGTTGAGCGACTGCAGGGAGGTGATGACGTCAGGCAATGCGATGGAGGTGATCTCACTGTCAAATGAACAGCAAAACATCAGTCAAAAGAGGAAATAAAGTGAATAAAGAAACAGACATCGTTTATTGGGAGACATTGTGACGCCACTTGGATTGAGATATTGCCGGGGCTACGGCCGGCATGTCGCCTACACCTTACGCCTAATTTAGGCGGCAGTGCACACATTGTACGGCATACTGCATAGTCTGTCACTCTAGTATGGCGAATAGTCGAAATCGGTTGCATTATTACTGAACTGTGTGCATTATGTCTATATTTGACTGTAAACAGGTGAATATCAACACCCCTCTCCATTCAAAAGCCTGCCGGTCCCGCATTAAGTACGACCAAGACATCGTTGTTCTCAACCAGCCACAACTAATCAACCCTTACGAAGCCAAATTTCTCACCTAAGTACACACCACGCTCACCTAAGTAAAGCCAAGTTGGCAATCTCTTTGTTCTTAAGTACACTAAAAGAGAACTCAAACCTCCAAGTTCCCAACACCAAAACGACCATGCCATGAGTCACCTAACCTGCTAGGTTGTTCGACTCAGCTACAGTTACTACAGCTACAGTTATGTTCTAAAAACTACGTTATACGTCTACATCCTAAAAAACTACGTCCTCGTACTTGTACAACATCTCCAGTAGTATCCAGCTCCGCCCTACATTCTCTACAAATTACCCTCACCTCAGTACAGCCAGGTTGGCGATGTCCTTATCCTCATAAATTACTGTATGCCTGGCCTATTCAAATACATTAGCCAGAGGGGTGTGGTAATAACTGGTGTAAGCAAATTGACCACGGTCAAAAATGTATTACCAGAATGCACTTAAGCCAACATTTTGGGATGGTCTCGTTCCTAAGTCGGCTAAGAGCTTCGGTCCAGAAAATAAATTTATCGTTGGCATACAGTAAAATACATACCAAACTCGGCCGGTGATAAATTTTCAAGACCTCAGTCCTTACTGATTTTTGAACTCGGCCTTCGGCCTCGTTCAAAAATCCAGTAAGGACCTCGGTCTTGAAAATTTATTTACACCGGCCTCGTTCAGTATTATATAACACCTCTAGTAGTACGCAGATTTGCCCTACTCTTAAAACCACCCTTACCTGAGTACAGCCAGGTTGGCGATATCTTTGTATTCATACAACACCTCGAGTATGATCCAGCTCCAGTAGGACCGGTAGCTGAGCTTTCCCAGATCGGAGAGAGGCTTCTCCGGGCTGCCGCACACGCCCTCCAGCTTACTGAAATTTAAGAAAAAATTGGGTTAGAATAGGGAGGTTAGATGTGGCTTTTAAGAAACCCTCCAGCTGTTTGTGAAATATCAGAAACGGTAAGGTTAGAAAAGGAGGTTATATGTGAGTATGAAGACGCCTTTTAGCTCACTCAAATATCACAAAGGGTTAGGTTGGAAGAAGAGGGTAGATGTAGCTTTACACACGCCCTCCAGTTTGCTGAAATGCCACAAAAGGTTAGCTGAAAAAGGGAGGTTAAATGTAGATATAAAGACACCCTTAAGTTTGCTGAAATGTCACAAAAGGTTAGGATAAAAAGGAGGTTATGTGTGAGCATGAAGACCCCATCCAGTTTGCTGAAATATCAAGTGGGATTGGGAAGGGAGCAAGCTGCGGTAATAAGAACATACAATATACCGGCAATCACACACTCTCACTCAGAGCAGCATCAAATAAGCAGGAAGGGAGGTGCACACTAAACGGTGGTGTTCTCGAAATCATCTGAGGCGATAAATAAGGACGAGGGTGTCACAGCGAAAATTTGATGGCTTTACAGACACCCTCAAGTTTCACGTAGCAGCAAATGAGGGCAGAAGACTAAGAGCGAAATAGATCAATTTATGCAATGTTGAAGGAGGAATGCAAGCCTCACAATTTGCAAGTTCTCTTGAGTTCCGTTCTTTGCGGACTTAATACCCATCAAACTGATCGTAAACCGCTTCTTCTACACTGCGCCTTTATCCAATAAAATGACTCATCCCGATATAATAAAAAAGATAATAAAACAAGTCCGAAATCGGTCGAAAAAAAATCCAATCCGATCCAGATTCGAACCCACAACTTTCACACCATACCACACCCCACGTCCGCCGACTAACCTGAGTTCGTAGCTGAAGGCGATCAGCAGTTTTCCGTAACCTTTCCGCTGGTACGGAGGCAGCACCAGGATACAGGCCACGTTGTTCCCTTCCAGCGACTCTTTCTCCTGTGAAAAAAGAATACTTTAACCTAATTCAATATTATATAATATCACACGGGGCCGGTAAAATGTTTCATTCAGGACCGAGGGATTTGTTGAGTTTTCCGCACGAGACCGAAGGTCGAGGGCGGAAAATTCAACAAAGCCCGAGGTCCTGAATGAAACATTCAGGCCCAAGTGTGATATTTATTTTAGCATATGCCGTTTAATTTCCATATTTAAGCTTCTTTAACAATTGTACATGCTTGAAAGAAGTGAAAAAACCAATAACGAATATCAAGAACTAAAAAATGTACATATTCCCTGACCAAGATAATAAACCAAGCCGACTCAAGATCACTGTGTTCCATCCTTGTGTCTGGCTCTGAGTTGGATTCATATCAAACCAAGAACATCTATTTCAATCTATGTCATATGAGAAGCTAGAGTAACGTTCGTTTTCAATATTAGAGAAGAGTGGAAGGTATACCATCCTGTGAAGTGAGCGCTTGGTTTTTTACCCATGTCAGTATGAATAAAGTTTTTACTGATCAATGTGAAATGCGTTTTTTGTCAATTCATTGCAGTTGTAAAAGACATGAAATGGACGCCATAAATGTAGGTGATTAATTAATATGTCTGTACATTAGGATTTAAAATATTATCTTATTGAAAACCAACATTTACAATCTGTTCAATAGTTCAAAGCGACCAAATGCAACACGTAAGTTCACGTTAGATTTCTATCAGTTAAGCTCTTTTCCAGCGCCTTCCTCCGTCTCAGGAAATGCTTCAAAAGTTCGCTGATAAAATGTTTTGCCCATGGGCCGAAACCTTTGCTCAATAGCCTTCAACATTATGCGGTTTAATCTAAAAAGCTTTTACCGCACGCTCGCGCTAATGCTAAAGACATACTCCGGCATATGCTAATATATATTACTGACCGGGCCGACGAAATTATTTGGAAACGAGGTTTGCAAAATTGACGGAGGCCCGAGTGCGGAGCACGAGGGCCGGAGTCAAATTTTGCAAGCCGAGTTTCCAAATAATTTCGTACGGCTGAGGTCAGTACAGGGGGATGTCGTCCCGGTTTTCCCCATGTATTATTCGCCAATCAGCTTAACACTACCAGTGACGTCACTGGTGGATCGCCAATCGGGGCCGGCCGGCCGGGCCCGTAGAAGGCCAAACGCAAACGTTTTCAGAAAAGCGTAAGCCGTATAGATACAGTCGTGGATGGAGTTTTGCTGTGATTCGGCTCTCCAAGAGTGCGTCAGCGGACCAGGACCCGGATAAAGGTCATAGTGAACCAGCATCTGATAAAATCCGCTCACGGCTTAGCAGCCGACTTCGACCCTTCGCCCTCGCAAAGCACAAAAGCTTGCCGGTCATTAATCCACCTGCATCTTCTCATCTGCTTAATGCCTATATCGACCAGCTACTGCAGCCGTTTTGGAGCGGCTCACGGCCGATAACACGCCGGGCGTGCGCTAGCCGCTGGTGCTAAGCGCTAACCATTGAGTGCGCGTGGCCGACTGCCGCCCCGATGGCGCTGGCCCCCGGCACCGACACCGGCGCGGCGCCGCTGACCCGTTGGGGGGGGGGGGCTGCTAATTAGTTGAGCCGGAATTGGGATAGAAGCCGGTATGGGATTGGGATAGAAACTCAGCGAGACTAAGGGATTGTATTGTGCCTTCAGTAGGCCCCCAAAAATCACCGGTGTAGTGTCCTCAGGGCCGCCGGTTATGAAGCCGAGGCACTGGTGTGGGCCCTCACAGGTAGGTACCGGTGTGAGGCCCTCGGAGGTATTGGTGCGGGGCCCCAGAGGTACCGCTGTGGGCCCTCTGAGGTGCTAGTGTGTGGCCCTCAGAGGCGCTGGTGAGGGTCCTCACAGTTGCCATTGTGGCCTGTGGGCCCTCAACTGCAGTGTGGGGTCATCACAGCCGCGTGCGGGACCCTTAGAGCTGCTGGCTCGAACCCTTTATAAGCCGACAGGGGCTCTCAGAGACCGACAAGGAGCCCTTAAGAGGTCTGCGGTGTCTTCAGGAGCCCTGTGGAGTCCTCAGAGACCAGCAAGGTACTCTCAGACGCCGGTGGTGGCCCTCAGAGTCGTCGGGGTGGGGTCCTCAAAAGTCACCGGTGAGTGGCCGTCCGATGCGAAGGTCCCGTCTTAGGCCGTAAGAGGCTCCGGCGTTGAGCCCTCAGAGCCGCCGATATATGGCCTTAAGAAGCACTGGTTTGGGCCTTTGGAACTTCATTCAGGGGTGCCGGTTGAACTCAGAGGTGCCAGTGTGGGGCCCTCAGCTGGGCACCGGTTTGGGGCTTTCACAGCCACCGGTGAGGGCCCTCGCAGGCGCCGTTGTGGGGGCCTTCAACCATTGGTTTAGGGGGTCATCACAGGCGTGTGTGGAACCCTTAGAGCTGCTGGTCCCTGATAGGCCGGTAAGGGCCCTCAGAGGCCGGCAAGTAGCCCTCAGAGGTCGCCAATGGGCCCTGAGAGGCCGGCAAGGGGCCCTCAAATGCCGACAAGGAACAAAAAAAAACCGGTGTGTGGCTCTTATGGAGAGAAGTGTGGCTATTCAGAGCACATAAGGTATTATTTCGAGCCCTGTGGGGCCCTTCTGAGTCGACAATGCCAGCGTGGACCCTCAGCCGCCAATTGGCGTCGCATGCGACGCCAAGGGGCCCTGCAGGGCCCCTCGGGCCCGAGAGGCCCCCCTGATCCGATGGGGGCACGTGCCCCCTGCCCCCCCCCCTCCGGGTGCAGATAGAGAATGCAATCGGCGGTGCGGGACACAACAATTGCAATCGTTCCTTCTCCCGTCGCGAGGTCGCCCATCCGATCCATATCCCAAGATTGTCAACCCTGGGGCTCTGGTCGGCAATGTATCGGCAAGGAAATCAGCTTTAGGTTGGTAAAAAAGTTATTAAGAGGCATTAGTTGTCGTTACGTTCAGTAATAACAACGATTAAGTGCCAAATGTACCCGACGTACGGCTTGGAGTCGGGCGCCGCGCGGTCTCCACCAGTGACGTCACGCTAATGCTTAGCGACCGGTCCATTGGAAATTGCGGGATGATTCTACCTCTCTTATACGGCCTTGGGTCAGTAAGATTTTTCCTACATGCCGCATACCTATTAAAACGTTTTGACAGGTTTTGGTGACACTTATACAATTGTTTTGTCCATAATTTCCTTACAGTGATTGCGCTACTGCTGTGGATAAAGCTCTGAAGGAAATTCATAGAAGAAAATGCATCAAAATACCTTACTTCCAAAAGAATCGCGTCTAAAAATATCAACACAGAATGGCACAACAACTGGATATCCAAGGAACATCATACATGAATAATAACAACGACATAAGAACAAGAAGAAGGTATAATATTCCTAGTGATTAAATGTAAATTTTCCAGTGCTCTTACAAGAATCTTTTCTTTATTTATGTAATCGTACTTTGTTTATGTTCTATGGCTGAACTTTCGTGAAATACATTATATTTTCCATATTTTACATGTTTGTTTCGAGGAAAGGACCTACAACTTTTAAATAATAACGCAATAACTTAGGCCCAAGGTATCAGTGGACATCAAACGAAGATAAGACAACAAACGATAACGGATTTCGATAGGCGCATATCTTACCATAATTTCGCCTTTGTAACCAATACAAAATATTTCAAAACCCTTGATAAGCAGAGCTGATATTTTCTTACCAAAAAATGTTAGTTTTCTTATTTTACGCGGCAAATATCATGCAATAATGATGTCAATTATACATTCCGAGTCAATTATACCTCTGGGCTAATGCGATAAACTGTAGTTTAGAGGTCATTGCCCTGGGCAGTAAACCCGGGCAGTAAACTTTTGTTTACTGCCCGGCCTATCAAATAACATGGCATTTTGACACCGACAGTTTCTTGGTCATAGTTTTACTGCCCGGCTCGTGCTGTGCTTAAGACATACCCCGGCATGTAGGAAACCCTGACTTTAACTTGATTGCAACGCATGAACGATGGCGTCGCACAAAGTGTCGCTCGGCAGGAACATTGCCGCAGCCGGGGACGAGGTTAACAACAACAGGTAAACCGTTAGCGAGGCGCCGAGCAACTTCAGACGATGGGAACGCACGATGCATGCATGATGGGAACACACAGTACAGATAACTCTGTGCTCTGTGTAGCCTGTTGCAATGTTGCATGCATACTGCATAGTACAATATGATGATTGACAAACCCCTCCTCAGTGACGACTTTCGTTAGGCGAATAGGTAAATGGAAATGTGCTGGTTTGGCAACGCTAAATATGCTCTTTATAAGTACGGATCAGTTACCGTTCACAACACACGTTATTAGCGAATATCTTTCCACGAAACCTTCATAGCAGCTAAGGATATTCCTAAAAAAATGATGTTGCGCTTCCATACACGCTATTCTCAATGAATCTTTCTATCATCATGTAATAATCTATATCTGTATTGATAAATCGTATTTCGTGATGAAGGAAGACATGGGGTCTGTTCCAGTCGCACTTCCTAACACCTTTAAACTCCTCCAAGATTGCTTCCCTGTTCCAGTGGCAGCTCTAGCCCCTACAAAGCCAAGGAGGGCCCTGCTCCAACCTCCTCTATCTTGGAGGAGTTTAAGGGTGTTAGGAAGTGCGACTGGAACACACCCATGGTTATTAGTTATTGTACAAGGCATGTTTCTCTCGAGTTCAGCTGCGAAGTCTCTCTCCCCTTCCCAGACGGCCACGGGTCCATCCCGGCGGCCGCCACCAGTCAGATCGAAGGCCTGGCTCAGCGCGAAATATTATGAAATATCATTCCATGACGCATGCGCAGTAGGCATCGTGGGCGGAGCAAAGGGCGGAGCTTCCCACGCATGACGTCACTGCAGAATATTCTGCCGCAGAATGGCATGACGGATTTTCGTGATGCCGATGGTTTTGCTACTGAATGGGGCGCACCAAACGATTGAATTGTGGCGTTTCTTTCTTGCGGGGATATTTTGGGAGGTGTTAAAGCGTGAATTGGCCAGTTACTTCACCACATAGTGTTTGAGAAACACATTAGTGTGTTGGTTACTGGTGGTTTTCGTGTAAAATCGTTTTGCACCGATGGAAGGCGATCGCCGGACTGTTTCACAAAATATTCTGCCATCCGAGGTCTGCGACGTCACTCGATGTGTGATGTCGCACCCGGGGCTTGAAATAGGCCTCGTGACACGACAGCCGACGGCTCCAGAAGCCGCTGCTCCTTCCCGCCGACCATCCGCTGATGGAGAGATTCCAGAGGGCGCTGGCCGCTCTGCTGAGGAAACAGATCGGGAAACTGGACCTGGACTTGGTGGAGCTGGTGGGTGACCGGGGGGGGGGGGGCGGGATTGGTCCGAGTTGGTGGTTTAGGTGGCGTCTTTGGTATGGATTGTTTGGTTAACTAGCTACACTAGATTTGGGGGCGAACTCTATGTAGAGTTAGGATGTTACCCTGAGGTGGACTGGAGAGTTCTGGATCTAGTGGGGAAAGTGGCTGTTTCGTACTGGTAGGGTGGACTGGAGATCTGCTACTTTGTGGCTGAACGGGACGCTGAACTGCCTGAGCTGCTACTAGTCGTGTTTGGTGACCAGAAGACTATGCATCCGTCCGGCATCCGGATAATCAGGGATAATTTTCCGGGATCACCGCGATCATTCGGTGTTTTAGGCTGACGCCGTGTACAACGGGCATGACAGCGAGTAAGAGTTATTAGTGAAGCAAAATCAATCTAAAAATGTGACTTACTGCATCGATGGTCGCTGCAATACCAAATTATTTCCGGTGATCCCGGATAATTATCCCTCATTTTCCAGATGCGAAAGCAAGGTATTTTTGTTCCGTGCAGCCCCGATACTGGCGAGTGGACATGGCCAATCCTCACCCCCCCCCCTCCCCCTGACAGCGGAAGGAGCAGCGGTCCCGCACCAAACACGGCGAGTCGTGCGGCGTGCAGCTGTACGAGCGGCAGCTGCAGCTGGCCAGACAGCAGCAGCAGCAGCGGCTCTCGGAGGCGCGGGCAGCTGCCGAACAGACGCTCACCGCCGTCCGACAGAGACATGGCGGGATTGGCGATCGTCTGGAGGCCGACAGGGAGAGGGTGAGAGGCAGGGAGAGAGGGAGGGAGGGGAGGGGCAGAGAGGAAGGGAGGGAGAATGACAATTAGAATTGGAGACGAATAGATGCTCAAAATGAATCGATACTTTCATCCCAAACACTGCGGTTGCATGCTATCTTTTTTATTGTATTTTATTTCACGTGTAATATTTCCATACACTGCCTATTAGACTATGTTAGAATGGATGCAAAATTACATCGCGACTTCCTGATTATGCAATATGCATGATATACAAACTCCAGCAAATACAAGTTACGATGTTATGAGTCGGTACACCTGTGCTCTTAATCACCGTAATATATTCCCTCCTCGTCACTACCCCGCGTCCCTCCGGTGTATTGTGCTCATTTTTCTCTGTACCGGTCTGCCTTATTAGCACAGAAAAGCCCTGAGTTGCACCCTCGTACAACGTCACGTGAGTAAGTAAGAGCGTTACTTTTTGTTTTCGAGTAAATGCCGCGACAGAGGCCCAGTACACTTGTCACCAGGTATCTACACCACTGTGATGACCTCCTTAGTGTGTAGATTAGTCCGTTGGCCTGATCTTCATCTCGGCCTTCTTCAGAGACTCATATCCTCTCCACCCCAACCACCATATTCCAGCAGTGTCCGTTATACCGCCGTCCCGGTACCGTCCGTTCAGGCTGCTATGGCCACACGTCCACCCCCTGCCGACCCACCAGGCCATCTTGAATAACTCGGCACAGTGATAGTGAGATGAGTCCTGGTCGCGGTCACGGGTAGAGAACTTTTCGTTGACACTGAACTGCAAGCTATCTCTGGCAGTTCCCGAGTAGTTGGAGGCGCTCAGTCTGTAGCCGTCCAGCTCAAAGGAGACGCTGAACCCTTGGTAAACAGCGTATGATCGATTGCCGTCAAACGCCTCGAGATCAATACGGAGCTCGTACTGTCGGTCTGATGATGTTAGCTGATGACCTAGCTGATATAGGTGTTCCAAACCCCACCAGAATTCTTTGGTAACATTACCAAAGCCTTCCTTATAGTCCCTCCATCCGAGGTAGAAGTCCTGGCGGGGCTCGATGTTGTTTCTCCGTTGGAACACCGTCCAGTTTCCTCCGGCAGTGTCCATATCGCAGTACGCCTCGACGGGTGGTTGTCTGCTGTCACCACTGGGCCGAAGGAGGTAAACTCCAGATGGGGAGTCGACAGGCAGGTCACTGCAATCACTAGCAGGGGCCAAATGGTGTACATCAGCGGCTAGGTCACCAATACGCTCCTGTTGGGATAATGTGTTGTTAACAGCTCCGACCAGCTTGGTTTCTAGAAGGTCAAACTGGGAGTTCAGAGTATCCATTCTGACTGAAATTTCACTCTGAGTCGTTTTTTGTTCGTCCAGCTGGGTGTTGACCTCGCTCAGCTGTGACTGCTGGCTGTCAAGCCTCGTAGCCAATGTACGCATTTCGCTCACATGCTTTTCCATGTTGATGACGATATCACTCAGTCGTTCTGTGAGGTCGTTCACTGTGGCTGTCGTCTCGTCCTGCTGGGATTTTTGGCCGTTCAGCTGTGTGATGACCTCGTCCAGCTGAGTCTGCTGGCCGTCCAGTCGGCCGGTCAGCTTCTCCATCCGGGAGTCGAGCAGAGTCAGTCTGTCATCGATGGACTCCAACCGTGACTCTATTTTGCGCTCCAGAGCCTCCATCCTAGACTCCAGCCTGTTCTCCAGGGGTTCCGTTCCTGACTGCAGCGTGCTGACGATGGCCTGTAGTTCATCACGCACCAACTGCTGTATGTACTCACTCACGGGGATGGATTTGCCACCGTCACAGTCGGCCGTCATGATAAGCACGGCTAAAATTAGGAGCGTCGTCACCCCGCCTCTGAAGGTCGACATGGTGCCAGGACACTTGGAGAGCCAGCCTCCCGCACCGGCTGCCGGCCTCGAACTGACGGCTCGGAGCTGGCAGGGTGTCTGCAGAGCTCGGAGCGGATGACCTCTATCAGAGGCACCACATCCGGTGACGCGGCCCGGTCCCGTGACGGACAGACTCGGCGATAAACATTGACATTGGTCTCTGACCACTCTGATGCAAGGATGCTCATGGTAGCCACTGCCATCAACCAGCGTTCTATTAATCAGAATTTTGTGTGGAAAATCACACCTAATGGGAAAAATATTTTCATCCCAAAATTAAGAAAAGTGGCATTATTTCATTTTCGAAAAAAGTTTCGTGGATTTAAACAGCCAGGTTACATTTGACTTCACAGTTGATGCATCAAAATTCTTTTCTTTCAGCTCCGGTCAAGATCCTGACATGAAATCCCCCTTTATCAATTGGCGTTAAAAATGGCATTATGCTCTTATGCGAAAATACTACAGGCATTTACTTCCTTTCTCTTCATCCTAAGACTTTTTTCCTTCTTCATCGGCACACCCAACCAAAATCTCATTTTAGAACACTTCCATCACCTCGATGTGTGCTCGAATAGTCGGCGAAGTTGTCGATCGAGGAAAAGCTCGCGACATCTCAACATCCGCACTATGTAAGAATTATCTCCAAGAGGGAGCACCATGCCCCTCCTCACCTTAGAGAAGCATCCTCCAAATAGAATTAGTACTCCCCCTGTTCCTTAGAGAAACACTATTAAGAAACTCCCTCCAAAAGGAAGCACCATCTCCCTCCTCACCTTAGCAGAGTACCCTACAGAGAAGGGCCTCTCCCTTCTACTAGAGTGAAGCACCCTAAAAAGAGAAACATTGTGCTGTGCCTCCTGTACCTAAGAGAAGCATTGTTAAGAGAAGGTGGTGCCTCTAAAAAGGTTCCCCGTCACCTTAGAGAAGTACCCTCCAAATAGAATCAGTACTCGCCCTGTTCCTTAAAGAAGCACGCTGTGCTGTGAGTAACTCTCTTCAAAAAGGCACCACAATCTCCGTCCTCACCTCAGAGAAGTACCTTCCAAATACAAACAGTAAACACCCTGTAGCTTAGAGAGGCACTATGTGAGCAACTCCCTTCAAAAGAACCACCACCTCCTTCCCCTCACCTTAGAGGAGTACCTTCCAAATAGAATCAGTACTCGCCCTGTTCCTTAAAGGAGCACTCTGTGAGAAACTCCCTTCAAAAAGGCACCACCACCTCCGTCCTCACCTTGGAGAAGTAGCCCACTACGTGAGCTCCCTGTTTGTCCACTTCACAGAGAATGTAGAACAGGAACGGCTCCACGTCAAAATAGAGCGTCTTGTGGTCGAGGAAGAGTTTGGCGAGCAGACAGAGATTCTGACCTGCGGAGGAGCGACACGGGGAACCATGTTGTGACACCGCAAATATGAGGGGCGAATGTAATTACAATCGGAGATTTGATATCAGTGGTAGCTTCATTAACAATGTGAGAGACGGTGTAAAGAAACAGTTCATTGCCATCGTAAGCCAATTTTGCACATTACAACTATGAAAACTTTGTCGTTCTCAGCTCAAAAACATTAGATTTATCTCTGAGGCCGATGCAATTCTGGATCTGTAAAGACTTAGAGCTTAGAAATTATTCGAGGAACAATTAAACCTTATGCTTGGCCCCCCTCATCTCATGCTTGATACTCGAGCACCCTTCTTATAGATAAATCTCTGTCATTGTGAGTTACGCCCGAGTAGCATATCTTACCGTAGACCTTGTGATCGGCTCCATCCACTTCATACACCGAGAGCGTTCCTTTTCGGTAGATCTCTCGACCGGGCGGTTGACGCCACCCGCAGTCTCCCTGGTGGGGGAGACAGTTGAGGGGTCAGGTCAGGTCAGGTCAGGTCACGGGCAGGTCAGGGGAGGGAAGGGAGAACAGAATCAGGTCAGGTCAGGTCACGCAAAGGACGCTTAGGAATGTACCTATTTGTTTAGAGAGGGCCGGTTTCTAACTTATGGTTAGTAACCAATGGCCTAATGGCTTAACTAATAGTTAGGCCACAGCTGCACTCTGCAGGATTAGGCAAAGAAAGATTAGCACCCCAATAGACCCATTTCTGCCACTACTTACATTTCTTTCAGTACTCTCCCTTTCTGCTACCCCGCCTTTCCTCTCTGCTTTACTAACTAAAGTCAATCTCTCCCCAACTCTCCTTTCCTATCTTTAAAAGCATCCCTCCTTCTGACATTTCTTTCTGGACTCATTCGTTATCACATCCCTCCCCTTCCTTCCTCCCACCCTCCCTTCCTTCCTTCCCCCTTCCTCCCTCCCTTCTCCCCTCCCTCTCACCAGATGATGCCGGTAGGTTGTCTCCAGTTTCATGTACTTGAGACAGTACTCGCATATGTACAACTTGGGCTGTTTCATGTACTCATCAGGATACGGTGAAAAGTACCACGTGTCGATCTCATACCGGCCGATCTGTAGGAGAGAAGGTACTATGTGTTAGTACAGGTCTCGCGGGTTTTAACGGTAGGTTTTGTACCTAGAAAATTTAGTGTACTTCATGCTATATCTTCGTCGTCTTAAAGGGACTATCCCACCTTCTAAAATGTTCTTAAAACCAGTTAAATTGTGCCCGACTTAATAGATTGGATGACCAGGAACACGGTTCTGGCATTTATTTTTCATTAAACATCTTAGGCTTCCCATATTCCAAACACAAACTTTCAAATATGTGACGTCACAGCCCAAAATTACCTCCTTCCCCAGGCCACATTACTGTCATAAAGCTGATTCTTTTTACTCTGTAGGCACCACAACAAAGTTCAGACCAAGTTTTAAGCGATTTTTCAACGAACAAACCCATTTAAATCAGAATGACTAAACGAGGTGACGTCACACTAACGGTCGCTCCATGTTGAAGATAGGGCCTTGTACAAGGCCCATTTTCAAATGAAGGGAACGAATTTCTTCAACACCAAGAGGCCGCGGGGGTTGCAACCTAACTAGATAGATAGTGGTTTCTGAACCTCGCCGCAAACTTGGCTATCTCGACTCAAACCCCATGTTAAAGGTGGGGTAGTCCCTTTAAGCTTTTAAGTGTTGAAGATGCGATCGACTTGTTGGGTAACAAGCCGGCCATGATCGTGTAAAATGGCTTCATCGTAGATCGATTAGTTTCTTAGATATAACCGGAAATGTAAAAGTGCAAAACCTACCGCTTAATCTCGCGAGACCTGTACATAGTACGGTTCGTGGTAAAACGACAAGTGAATAGGGTGAGAAGTACCAGGTGTCTATCTCATAACGGCCGATCTGTGAGACAGAAGGTAACGTGAGTTAGAGCGTCACGTGGTAAAACAACACGTGACGACGCAACATGGTGACGTCATGATTCAGCAAGGTGATTTTACTGGGGATAAGAGTGCAAGAAGATAGCTACATTCCTGAGCCATGGGTTATTCCAAGGTCCGGGTTAATCACAAGGTTTGATTTCAAGAAAGATGGTTTTGAGCAATAAGTTTCACAAGTACAGTAAATTTACATGGAGCACAGGAAAACAACACATTATAGCCTGTGTAAGCTATACGTTTCATTAGAAAGGAAAAACAGTGTGCCCAATATATTGTGCTTACTCCAAATTACCCTACTCCCTTTCTATCCTACCTCTTACTCCCTAGATAGATCCTCTACTTATTTCGTCTCCCTAACTCCCATGGCTCGCAGCAAACATCTGACTCTGACACCACCCTTTCGATGCATTTATCCTCGGACTTTGCATCTTTTTTATCCTCCCGTCCCATCCCCAACTCCCCCCCCCCCCCCCCCCAGCCCCTCATCTTTCACTCACCTGAACCCTATCGATGTATTTAACCTTCGTGATCGTCTCATGCTCTTTCTCTAACGCCGCTGTCGTGGGATCCATTTCATCATAGCTCTTCTGGACATGATTGATCTCATCGTGTTTGCGTTTCTGATTTCTGGTGATCTTTCGGTCAGAGTCTAGCAAAGGGTCGGAGCTGGAGGAGCGATCTTTGCCAGAGTTGGGATCGCTTTCTTGACGTCTGCGGAGAGAGGGTGCAGGGGGTTAGAGCTGGACGGGGAGAGAGAGAGAGAGAGAGAGGGAGAGATGCAGAGAGAGAGAGAGAGAGAGAGAGAGAGAGAGAGAGAGAGAGAGAGAGAGAGAGAGAGAGAGGAAGGGAGGGAAGGAGGGAAGGAGGAAGGGAGGGAAGGAGGGAGAGAGCAAGAGAGAGAGAGAGAGAGAGAGAGAGAGAGAGAGAGAGGGAGAGATGCAGAGAGAGAGAGAGAGAGAGAGAGAGAGAGAGAGAGAGAGAGAGAGAGAGAGAGAGAGAGAGAGAGAGAGAGAGAGAGAGAGCAACAAAAAAATCAATTTGAGGTTACCTCTCCCTTTCGATACCATATGTGTAAACTGGGTAAAGGATAAAATGAATAGGTAACTTCTTACACAATGGTATCTGAATGAGTGGCAACTATATCAATGCATACGGCTATCGGTATATTGCATGCCTAGCTTACCCACTGTCTCACCTTAATCGTCCAATGGGCACCCACTCGTCCAGTCTCCGATTGTGTCCGTCATAGTGGACGTAGTACTCTGTGTGTGCTCCCGAGGGTCGCTGCTGTAGTACCACCGCACTGTGCCACTGTCGGTCGGGACGCTGGACTAGGTAACTACCTCCGACTGCGACCTCTGAGGGCTCCATCTGGGGAAGGCAGAGGGATAATGTTAGACCAGTAGCTGGCGCCTATGGTGACCTCTGAGGGCTCCATCTGGGGAAGGTAGAGGTGAAATGTTAGACCAGTAGCTACCTCCGACTGTGACCTCTGAGGGCTCCATCTGGGGAAGGCAGAGGGATAATGTTAGACCAGTAGCTGGCGCCTATGGTGACCTCTGAGGGCTCCATCTGAGGAAGGTAGAGGGGGGGATGTTAGACCATCCATCTGATGGATACAATGGCATTTCTTGAAGCAACAAAGGAAAACTACAAGAAGCTACAGTAATCAATAAAATAGCAATAAAAATAATGCTTGAGTTCTTGGTACAGATGTCAAAATGAGGAAAAGGAAAACTATCGTCGCTTTTGAAGACTCCATCTGAGGACGGACGATTATTTTTGCTAGCATTTTGCTGAACAACAATGAGTACTTACATGATGATTACCATAAATTTTTTGGATAAATTGAGCTCAAATGTTTGAATGGACTGATTGACAGAGCCGGAGCCCAATATGCTAAGCATAGCTCATTGTTTAGGCTCCGACCTAAACCGAAAGCCGTCAGATCGGAAAATTTTCAGAAAAGTTTAGGTGCCAAAATGCACCATGACCGTCGAACCCAGGCACAGCTCGTCCAACCCAACTGACTTGAGCTGGCTATGGCTGCTCCCACTTTTGGCAGACCATCTGTTACAGATGCCAAACTTTCGGCAGGCCATCTGTCAAAAGTATCAAATTGGAGCGCCTGGGCGACTCGAACCCGCACTCATAAGTAGCGGGAGTCCAGACTGCAAAACGTGGCACGTACATGCCCAAGGGGTGCCCAGTTTGATGGGAGTGCACGCCTGGCACGCAGGAGTGCATGCCTGTGTCCGTAATCTGCACACCTGGCACGTAGCGTTTCAAGTTCAAGATTACATACCCCGCACAAGCACGATATTGAGCATCGCAGCAAGACTTGCCAGGTGCCAGGTGACACTGAAAGGGTCTCAGCGAGCGACACATTTAAATTTAGTTGGTCAGTGATTTGGTTCATAGCTTACATTACCTTAACCTGACACAGTGTATGCCATCTTATCACGAGCAATGCACTCGTTTTTTCACGAGGCTCTATCTTGATCAAGGGTAGAGCGGTTGAGGAAGGTCATGCTCACTTCTACTGGCTCCACTTAGGGACAGGGGGATGTCGTCCCGGTTCTTCCCATGCATTATTCGCCAATCAGCTTAACACTACCGGTGACGTCACTGGTGGACCGCCAATCGGGGCCCGCCGGCCGGCCGGCCGGGCCCGTAGAAGCCCGAACGCAGACGTTTTCAGAAAAGCGTAAGCCGTATAGATACAGTCGTGGATGGAGTTTTGCTGTGATTCGGCTCTGCAAGAGTGCGTCAGGGTACCAGGACCCGGACAAAGGTCATAGTGAACCGGCATCTGATAAAATCCGCTCACCACTTAGCAGCCGACTTCGACCCTTCACCCTCGTAAAACACAAAAGCTTGCCGGTCATCAATCCACCTGCATCTGTGCATCTGCTTACTACCTATATCGACCAGTTACTGCAGCCGTTTTGGAGCGGCTCACGGCCGATAACACGCCGGGCGTGCGCCAGCCGCCGGTGCTAAACGCTAACCACCGAGTGCGCGTGGCCTACTGCCGCCCCGATGGCGCTGGCCCCCGGCACCGGCGCGGCGCTGCTGACCCATGGAGGGGGGGGGGGGCTGCTAATTAGTTGAGCCGGAATTGGGATAGAAGCCGGTATGGGATTGGGATAGAAGCTCAGCGAGACTATGGGATTGTGTGGTGCCTTCGGTACGCCCCTCAAAATCACCCGTGTAGGGCCCTCAGGGCCGCCGGTTATGAAGCCTTTGGAGGCACTGGTGTGGCGGGTACCGGTGTGATGCTCTCAGAGGCATTGGTGCGGGGCCCCCAGAGGTGCCGCTGTGGGCCCTCAGAGGCGCCGGTGAGGGTCCTCACATTGCCGTTATGGGCCCTCAGAGACACTGCAGTGTGGGGTTGTCACAGTCGGGTGTGGGACCCTTAGAGCTGCTGGCTCGAACCCTTTACAGGCCGACAGGGGCTCTCAGAGACCGACAAGGGGCTCTCAAGAGGTCTGCGGTGCCTTCGGGAGCCCTGTGAAGTCCTTAGAGACCAGCAAGGTACACTCAGACGCCATAGGGGCCCTCAGAGTCGTCGGTGTGGGGCCCTCAAAAATCACCGGTGAGTGGCCGTCCGATGCGGCCCCGGCGTTGAGCCCCCGGAGCCGCCGATATATGGCCTTAAGAAGCACTGGTTTCGGGACCTCATTCAGGGGTGCCGGTTGTACTCAGAGGCGGCAGTGTGGGACCCTCGGCTAGGCACCGATGTGGGGCATTCACAGCCTCCGGTGAGGGCCCTCGTAAGCGCCGTTGTGGGGGCCTTCAACCATTGGTTTGGGGGTCATCGCAGGCGTGTGTGGAACCCTTAGAGCTGCTGGTCCCTCATAGGCCGGTAAGGGCCCTCAGAGGCCGGCAAGTAGCCCTCAGAGGTCGCCAATAGGCCCTGAGAAGCCGGCAAGGGGCCCTCAAAGGCCGACAAGGGACACTAAAAAGCCGGTGTGAGGCTCTTATAGAGAGAAATGTGGCTCTTCGGAGCACATAAGGTGTTCTTCCGAGCCCTGTGGGGCCCTTCTGAGTCGAAAGATGCCAGCGTGGACCCTCAGCCGCCAATTGGTGTCGCAAGGCCCCTCTGGCCCGAGAGGCCCCCTGATCCGATGGGGGCACGTGCCCCCTGCTTCCCCTCCCCCGGGTGCAGATAGAGAATGCAATCGGCGGTGCGGAACACAGCAATTGCAATCGTTCCTCCTCCCGTCGCGAGGTCGCCCATCCGACCCATATCCCATGATTGATGATTGTCAACCCTGGGGCTCGGGTCGGCAATGTACCGGCAAGGAAATCAGATTTAGATGAGTAAAAAATTTATTAAGAGTCATTAGTTGTCGTTACGTTCAGTAATAACAACTATACGGTGCCAAATGTACCCGACGTACAGCTTGGAGCCGGACGCCGCCCGGTCTCCACCAGTGACGTCACGCTAATGCTTAGCGACCGGTCCATTGGAAATCGCGGGATGATTCTACCTCTCTTATACGGCCTTGCTTAGGGAAAATGGAAGAGGTACGAGTTATGACTGCCTGGACTAAAGTACTGCACAATCAGAGTCAGTTGGTGACGTGTTGACACTTGACAGCCTGCCAAGAATCAGTTGATAGTTTAAAGCCAAAATGGGCATCTGAGTTGGACAGTTTGAGTAACCAAAAACTCATCAACTCTGCAGACCTACCAGGCTATGAAATCAGGGTCAGACTCGGTCAGTGAGTCGACAATCCTGCAGAGGGTCGGAGTCGGGAGTCCGTCGATCTAGGGAAGGAGATAGTCACCAAAAATATGTCAGCTACGCAGTCTTGGTCTGGAAAACATAAGAAAATACATTCAAAATGCTACAGATATTGACGAACATGTCAGCATATATTATCTATTATAAGTACCTACAACTTGGCACAATTTTCATCAGCAAATTCTTATTCATTCAAAGCAAATATCATATCTCGATATCTCGTCTGTTGTAAGTTATCACAAATCTCATACCTTACCTTACCTTACGGTATACGGGTTGTGGGAGGCCAATTTGGCCTGTGGGGCCCGGTCTCAGCGAGCTCCCAGTGCTTATCGACAGTCAGCCTCAGGTTGGGTAAGATCGGGTTCAGGTGGGAAGGCTTTGCATGATGTCAGCCCAGTGGGCATCCAGCCTGGTCTTGAATTGGTTGACTGACGTAGCTGATACGACCGCTTGCGGGAGAGCATTCCATGGGTTAATAACACGTGTACTAAAAGAGTGTCTTCGGATGAACGTCGTGGCCCGCGGTTTCGCTAGTTTCCACTCATGGCCTCTTGTTCTTCCTGAAGTTGATCTGGTGAGCAGCTTCTCGGTGGGGACCGCCATGCCACCATGCAGAATCTGATAGACGGCTATCATATCACCCCGTTGACGTCTGTAGTATAGCGAAGGGAGCTTCAGTGCGCGCAACCTCTCTGGATACGACAGGTGTCGGACAGTTTGTACCAGGCGAGTAGCTCTTCGTTGCACCCGCTCAACCTTCTTCTGGTCCAGCTTACTAAACGGTCCCCATACGAGGTTCCCATACTCCAACAGCGGTCTCACCAGTGTCTTGAATAGTAATGGGAGGGTGTTTGAGTCCAGGTTCGCAAATGACCGCCTGATGACCGACAACACCTGAGAGGCCTTCGACACTGCAGCCGCTGTCTGCTCATGAAACTTGAGTTGGTGATCTATGATGACGCCGAGGTCCTTCTCTACGGTCGCCTCGCTGATGGCACTGTCTCCGAGGCTGTAGTGCATGCGAGGGTTTCTGGTCCCAATGTGCATAATCTTGCATTTACTTGCGTTGAAGCGGAGGAGCCACGTTTCCGACCAGCGAAGGAGGGCGTCAAGGTCCTGCTGAAGAGTTGGCATGGAAAGCGCAGTAGGAACGCGGCAGTACATCTTGGTGTCATCGGCGAACATCCGAACGCAGTTCGTTACACATTCGGGTAGGTCGTTAACATATATAATAAACAAGGTAGGACCCAAGACAGATCCTTGAGGGATTCCGCTTGTAACGGGGGACCAGTCTGATGCGTCTCCCTGGACCTGCACCCTCTGCAAGCGGCCAGTCAAGAATGATCCTATCCACCGTAGGAGTTTGCCGGAGATGCCATATGCCTTCAGTTTCCCGAGGAGGCGCTTATGAGGGACCGAGTCGAAGGCTTTTGCAAAATCGAGGTAGCATACGTCGACTGGTTTACCATCCTCAATAGCTGCGCTCCAGTCGTCCAGAACTTCCAAGAGCTGAGAAGTACAAGACCGCTTCGGCAGAAACCCATATTGAGCTGGGTGCAGCAGGTCATTGTCAGTCAGGTGCGAGATCAGTCGGTCTCTCACCATGGACTCAAGTATCTTGGAGGGGACAGAGGTGAGGCTCACCGGCCGGTAGTTTCCCGGGGACCGTTTGTCTCCCTTCTTGTGGATCGGGATCACATTCCCAGTCTTCCATTCCGGAGGAAGGATTCCGGAGTCCAGCGACTTCCTGAACAGAGTGCACAGCGGGAGAGCAAGGCCGTTTGCAGAATCTCGCAAGGCTCTAGGATGAATGGAGTCCGGTCCTGGGGCACTGGTTGTCTTCAACGAGGAGAGCTTCTCAGCAACAGTCGCGGGCGTGATCTCAATGTCATCAGCTGGTTGACAAACCGGCTCGACTGTCAGTACTGGTAGATCATCGCTGCCTTCCTCTGTGAAGTTACTGGCAAAGAACCTGTTCAATATACAGGCTTTTTCATGATTTGATGTAGCGACTTCGCCCCTTTCGTCCCTGAGGTCACCAACTCCACATCTTGTTTTCAATCTTGATGACGTGTACCTCCAGAAAGCTTTTGGATCGTCCTTTATCCTTGATGCTAGTTGTTTTTCGAAGCTCCTACGAAGGTTTCTCGTTAGAGTTCTAAGCCTGTTGCGACACGTTGCGTACCTGGCAAAATCGATCACATCTTTAGACCTTATGTAGATCTTCCATAGCTGGGACTTCTTTTTCTTCAGCTGGATGGCTTGCCTGTCCATGTACAGGTTTCTGGACCTGAGGGCAGTTGGCACTGCTCGGGTGCACAGCTTGACAGCCCAATCCCATTTGCCCTTGAAGAAGGAGTAAGCGTCAGTCAAGTCCATGGAAGTCATATGGCCCCAATCGATGGAGGCTAGGGTTGAAGCCAGTTGATTGAAGTCCACACGGCACCTCTGGTCCTTGGGAAGAATTTTGGCTGCTGAGTAGCATACCAGTGAAAAACGAAGAACTACATGATCACTGTTTCCCAGGCAGGGATGGTATTCAACATCTCATGCAAAAATTAATGTAGAACTTACACGATATTCTTCGTTTGGTTCTATTTTGCTCCTTTCTTTGCTTGATCACCTCAGAGCCGCCACATGCAATTTATAAATAATGATAAATGGTTCTCATTATAGAGTTCAGTGATGCTTCTATACCATTTTTGCCTGTCAAATACCATGCGAGGTTAATACTCGTGACGTCATTCCATGTCTACGAATCGCTTACCACTTTTGATACCTTTTCCGAACAAAGCTGTGTTGTTCGAGATGTTTTTGTCATTTGTGTTGTCTACATTGATAGTAAAATTGCATTAAAGTATGTTTTACACATCAATTATTCTAAAACAATAAGGCAAAATTATTTAAAAGTAACGACGCAATCAAAAAATTAAGTTTATAGGCGTTCTTAGCGCATTTTATTGTGTTCGGTAAAAGATACTATCGTATCGTTTATGCGAGTCGTAAGCAGAATCAGCAGGATATTTACGAATTAATTTACTATTCGTAGCGATTTCGTCCTCCATCGACTAGTGAAACGCTTTATATTGAACAGTGCTTGATTGAATTCTTGGAATGATTCGCCATTTGTATTATTCCTAAGCTGTGTTGAGCTGTGGTTGTATGGTGGCTATAAGTAGGTATTAGATAATGCAAGGCTGTGTAAGAGGAACGAGGTCGATATCATTTGTATCAATGGTATATAGGGCCTTGGTATCAATACCTATTTATTTCTACCCTAAATAAGATGCTGATTCCCAGTTGCAGTGTATAAACTGTGCAGCTAAGACCTTCATATTCTTTTAGGCAATGTTAATGTCAAAAATTAAAATTTATTTATCTGCTAGTTAATCGTAAAGTAAAGCCCATACTTATTTACGTGCAGCTGTGCCCCTCAATATTTGACAGTGACTTGTTACTCGTGCAACTGACATGCGGTGCCTGGCTGACAGAAGCCGGTGAATCGTTCCACAATGTGCGTGGGCCCGTTCCGGAGAGTGTGCCACTGGGGCCCTCTGACCGCTCTGGGTGAGTACTGAGTAATTTTCGGCACAGCAGCAGATGGTGAAGCAGGGGCCCTGTTCATGAACCCCGGCGGTCGCTGCGGCCGCTGCGGCCAGCCGGGTTGTTACGTCACAAAAAGGGGCGGGGCCCATGTAGTATGACGAATGTATGACGTCACCTTGCTGCGGCCGCTGCGATCTCTGCGGCCACAATCCAGCGACCGCCGAGCCGCAAGAAAGTAATTGCACTGAACTTGGCGCACTGAAGTCAAAGTGTAGGCTCCCAGTAAAAAATACCATTTGAAACCATTAGGATTTACCAATTGGTTTCAAATGTGTCAAATGGTTTGAAATAGGTTCTAATGGTTTTCATGACCATTTGAAATGGTTTCCAATTGGTAATTTCCCAATTGGTCTGAAATGGTGTTTTCCATTTGGTCCCAATTGGTTTTGAAATGGTTTCCTAATGGAAAATAAATCCCATTTGATTTCAAATGGTGTTTTCCATTTGATCCCAATTGGTTCCAAATGGAATAAAACCATTTCATTCCATATGGTGTGTCCCATTTGATCCCAATTGGTATCGAAATGGTTTCCAATTGGTAATTTCCCAATTGGTCTGAAATGGTGTTTTCCATTTGATTTGAAATGGTGTTTTCCATTTGATTCCAATTGGTTCCAAATGGAATAAAACCATTTCATTCCAAATGGTTTGTCCCATTTGATCCCAGTTGGTATCTAAATGGTTTCCATATGGAAGAAATTCCCATTTGATCTCAAATGGTTTTTCACATTGTTCTGAAATGGTGCCTTCCATTTGATCCCAAATGGTATGTCCCCAATTGGTATCGAGATGTTTCCAATTGGTACTTCCCAATTGGTCTGAAATGGTGCTTTCCATTTAATACCAATTGGTTCCAAATGGAATAAAACCATTTCATCCCAAATGGTGTGTCCCATTTGATCCCAATTGGTATCTAATGGTTTTTCCCATTTGATCTCAAATGGTTTTTCCCATTTGATCTCAAATGATTTTTCCCATTTGATCCCATTGGTGTCCAATTGGTCTCCAAATGGAAGAAAACCATTTCATCCCAAATGGTTTGTCCCATTTCATCCCAATTGGTTTTGAAATGGTTTCCATTTGGGAGTCGGGAGATATTCCTATTTGATCTAAATTGTTCAAGTGGTTTCGAAATAGAATTTTATCTGATAATGCGTGTCTTATTTAATCCCAATTGTTATTGAAATGGTTTCCATTTGAAAGATATATTCCAATTTGATATGAAATGGACAGTGGTTATCCTATTTGATCCCAATTGGTGTCGAAATGGTTCCCAAATGGAAAAGCAAATCTGTTTTGAAATGGTCTCTCCCATTCCATTTCAACTGGTGTCGAAATGAAAAATGCATTTGAAAAGCATTCAAGGGTCGTTTTAGGCAAGAAAAACATACTTATATGGCAATAACTTTTATTTCATGAGATGAATAAAAGCAAAGTCCGAACCGTAGTCGGAACTGGAGTCAATTTTTTAGTCAGAGTCGGAGTTAGAGTCATAAATCCACCACAATTTGCAGCCCTGTTTCCAGATGTGTGACAAGTATGCTTCAAAAGTGTTTCTACCTTATGGTCTCTAATGGTTTCAAGTGTGTTTTGAGTATGGACTGGGTATCTATTAGTTATTAGTTCCCAATTGGTACCCTAATGGTTTCTAATGGTTTTTAAACATATGCTCAAATAATAGACTTAGAGGTAATGGGAAGACCTTTGACTGGTTATACTTGATAAGCATCACTACAGGGCCTTAGTTTTCATTAAATAAAAATGATTCGCAAAATCCACGCCGTTTCCGCTCATTTAAACAGCACTACTTTTTCTCTGTGTGCCTACGCTGGCGGCGCCCGACCGTTGGCGCCCGACCGTTGGCGGCTTGGCGCCCGGCCGGCCGCGGCCGCGCCGGCGCCACAGTTCAAATCGGGCGTCGACGTCGGCCGCCCGGCCGGCGCGCCACCGTGTTTCGCGTTCGCTGGGCCTGGGACTGCCCGCGGTCGACCGGGACCCAGACCTGCTGTAAAAGAGGAAGCTGAGCAGAATCACGCGGCTGGTGAGTGACTTTTCTTGTGCCTCTGTATGCGATATTCGTTTTACGACTGCAAATACTGAAAATAGTTATTTGAATAAATTTGATTGCATTTGGCATCTTTGTAAGTACCTACTGAGTTTAACAGAGGTGAGAAAGAGGCTTAAAATTAGCGATCACAATTTATTTTGCCAGCAGAAAATTGTCAGTGCCATATTTGTTGTGGTCAGGCTGCCTAAATGACAATGCAAGTTGCATGAGCTTAAAGTTATTATATTGTGATATTTGACAAATGACTCTGTGTGGTAATTAATTTGATCCCATCGCCCAATTAACCCGTGCTGTCCTGTACTGTTGCAGGCACGAACTTGCACCGGACAGACGCCGTCTACCGGTTCTACACGGGTCCAGATGGGCTGCATGCCTTCATTATAGCTATACGTTCTGACTTCTGAAAATTCTGATCGCCACGGAAGATTAAGAAATCTGTCAGAACAACAGACAGTATCACCGATCGGAATTTGATATTGTATCACGTCGTTCATTGTGCCTATGTGGAATAGCGTACGTATGGCCCAGTGTATAACTACATTGTAATTCTGTTCTTGATTCTGATAGCAGTCGCCTCATCGATGTGGTGTTGACCAAACAACAATGTCCATGTGTAGTTAATGTCTAATGTTGGTAGGTACGTACTGATGAAAATGTATATGCTTGCAGAGTAAAACAATAAAAATAATTCACGGTGCAGTTTGTTATTTTGTGGATGAAATGCATGGACTTCAAAAGGATCTTCAAATGGTAAATCCAGCTGCCCAGTAAAAAATACCATTAGAAATTACCAAATGGTTCCAAATGGGAAAAACCATTTGACTTATTGAACACTTTTCCAAATGGTTCCAAAGAGGTTCCATTTGAAATGTGTCCAATTGGCCACCAATTGGTACCAATTGGAACCATTTCATGACCATTTGAAATGTATCCAATTGGTCACCAATTGGTACCAATTGGACACATTTCAAATGGTCATGAAATGGTTCCAACTGGTACCAATTGGTGGCCAATTGGACACATTTCAAATGGAACCTCTTTGGAACCATTTGGAAAAGTGTTCAATAAGTCAAATGGTTTTTCCCATTTGGAACCATTTGGTAATTTCTAATGGTATTTTTTACTGGGCTGTGTTGCCATGGAGACGATGTTATAAACAAATTCATTCCGTCCGGTGTTGCATGCCATGATACCTAAAAATTAGATTAATGCTTTAATATGAGATTTAATTTTAGACTTGAGTTATTTGTGCTACGATTTAATGAAAACAATACCAAATCATTTATGTGACCCACTTACAAAAATACAGAAACACCAGACGGTCTTGAGAAACGCCCTTTTCATCACAGGAATGGAATACACAGATAAAAGAAGCGCGTGGAAACTATTGATTAGTAATCGTCTCAAGCGCGCAATTATCGGAAACTATTTCGGCAGCAGACGTGTTCATGGAACGCTGATTGCGGCCGAGTGAGTGATGACGTTTCAAAAATGGGCGGAGCTTAGAGCCTGCGGCCGGCCGCAGCGGCCGCAGGGTTCATGAACAGGGCCAGGGTTACATGAGTTTAGTCGTATAGCATTTGTCAGATGAGCGAAGGCCCAGTAATGTGTGCTTTACTAGGCTAAATGGGTTTTTGGAGGAATTTTTGTGTGGACAATTCCAGTCAGCAATTTGGTCTGCCTCAAGTCCGTTTTACCCCAGCAAGTCAGACATGCCAGATTTGGGCTGGTGTAAATGAAACGCCATCGGCACAGAGGTTTGGGTTGATATGGCTCTATTCTGGTTAGCCAGTCCTTGCCGTGGCGCTCCGGAGTTGTTATGGTTTCGGATCGCCAAGATCGGCTCCCTGCCACAGAGTGCTACGGCCAGGTCTGGCTGCCTCGTTAACCGCTCTGGCTTACCGTGGCTGAAGCACGGTTGAGGTACGGCATGACTAAATGCTGATACAGACTCACTCATACAGCATTCAGCCGTGCCGTATGTGAATGGAAAGTGTCAGAAATGAGGCCTCTTTCTGGTCCCGACGTTTCATTCTCCGATTGGGCTAGCCCCGTCCAGGGTTTAGCTTTTCGGGACCCACTGAGGGTCGCGATCGTTTTCGCCGCGATCGCCCCAATCGAGATGCAAAGTCAACAGTCACACAAAGCTCATTTAGGGCAAGCCAAACCAGCCTAGTCCGGATTTCCTGTTAAATGTATGCATATAGACGAAAGAAAAAAATGTTTTGTAGATTCGATTAATTTCGAAGTGGTAACTAAATTCAGAGGCCCCAAATAAACTTCGTGTGACTATCAACTTTGTATCTCGAATGGGCCGGACGGCGAAAACAACCGCGGCTCCAAGCGGGTCCCGAAAGGCGAAGCGCTAGACAGGGTTTACCCACCCGGAGAATAAAATGCCGGGACTAGAAAAAGGCCTCATTTCCAGCCCTGCAGTGAGTGATACATGTCGGCTGATACATGATACATGAGTGAGTACATGATACATGCTACAAGTGATACATGAGTGATAAAATGCCGGCTGTGGTGCGGGCGAGGTGCGGGATCGTGTGTCAGCTCCAGTTCAGCTCCAGACCTTGCCCGTAGTTTGGCTGGAGTAAAATGCCGGAGCTAGCCAGAGCAAAACCAGATACTGCCCAGACCAATATTGTTTGGACAAGATTTGCCGACCAAACTGATGAGGTCGTTAATGCTGATAGGACGAGATGCAAATGAAAAAGCTTTGGTCAAAAATTGCATAAAACACAACTACAGCGGCCAAAAAATGTGCGGCAATAACAATTTTCTCCACCCACCTAGTCTAACACATGATCTTTTTCTTTTTCTATTTCAGGCATCATCCAGTCCATCACCTTGATGACAATCCACTGTTTCTACCTGCTGTGGCCGTCTGAATCCAATTGGCTCCCAGGGAGGATCCAATTTTGGATATTCTGTGGGCTCAGCTGTGCGACGCTGTATGCGTTCCTGAATGCACTGCTCGTTGGACCTGGATTTGTGCCGAAAGAATGGAGACCGGTAAGAGAAAGGGGAAGGAGGAGAGAAGGGGAGAGAGGGAAAGAGAGGGAGGAGTAGTGGATGGGAGAGAGGGAAGAAAGAGAGGGAGGGAGAAGGGGACAGGGAAGAGTTAGGATAGAGCAGGAAGAAAGGGAAGGATATTGTAGGAGAGGAGCTAGGGCAGATACCTAGATCGGGAGGAAAAGATGGAGCATGAGAGGAGGTCAGAGGAGGATATTTTGGAAAAGAATAGAGGGGGAGATGGGTCAGGGGATAGCGACGTGGAAGACGAGAATAAGCGAGAGGAAGAGGGAATGGGAATAAGGCATGAAGAGGAGTGATAGAATAGAGCCCATCACCCATGACGCTTATCTCCATTTCGTGTGTCATTGTGTAATTTCTCCATAGGAGGATAAATCTGCCGAGTCGCTGCTACAGTTCTGCTCCTTCTGTCAGGGATACAAGGCTCCGAGAGCTCACCACTGCAGAAAATGTAAGTAGTCAGTCATCAGCGGCTCAGCTTATCTAATTATCAGTCTTCATCTGACAGAGACCATTTTTTTTTTGTCCCGCGGAGGTCGTATTCGCGTCAGCATTTCTCGTAAGCTTTGTCTTGCGATCAATTTTCATCGTGTGTTTTGATTTCACGTTGAGACAGTATTCAGTCAACACTTGCAGTCATGATGTTATTATCAGTCTTCAGGTAAAAGTCCATAATTACATTACAATCTTGTACAAATTGTACAAATTGTACAAATTTTGTTACAATCGCCCCGGCATCTGTGTCCTTAAGCAGCCGTTTCATCATTTACAATCGCCACACTCCTCTTTTCGTCAGGAAACTGTTATATTATTTAGTTCACTGTCTCTTTTTTTGTTCCCATGTATCTTTTTTGTAATTTTAAAAGCATACCGCCCATTTCTCCTCAGCCAGTCACCCATGCTATTTATAATTGTCTTCCTCCCTTTCCTCTCTGACAACGGCTGTGTTACAATCCCCCCTGTCTCTGAACTGTTCATTCATTTGTAATCGCCCCGCCCCATTTCTCCTCAGGCAACCATTACTTCATTTACAATCGCCCCGCCCCCATTTCTCCCCTGGTAAACGCTGTATTACAATCTCCCCTCTCCTTTTTCTCCTCAGGTAACCGCGGTATTACAATAACCCCTTACTCCTTGTCTCGTCAGGTAACCGCTGTATTACAATCGCCTCTTGCCCCATTTCTCCCCAGATAACCGCTGTATTTACAATCGCCCCTTTTCTCGTTTTCTCCCCAGGCAATCGCTGTGTGATGAAAATGGACCACCACTGTCCGTGGATCAACACCTGTGTGGGCCACAGAAATCATGGCTACTTTGCCTACTTTCTACTGTTTGCCGTCCTCGGATCACTGCAGGGAGGGATGACCATGTCCCTGGCGGTGTATAGAGTGTTCACGGCGGTAAGTGAACCGGGGTTTGCAGACGGATGTTAACGTAGGGCATAGACCTCTGTACAGAGGTCAATGCATAGGGTATTTTTGTGCGGTTCAGCTGTACTCACTCCTTATTTATTGAGGCAAGCTAGGTTGTTGAAGGTTGAAACTTAAACACGGTGATGATACTTAGTGTGTGGCATTTTTGAAAGAGCGTTCGCCGTTCGGTGCTCAAATAGTGGAAGCTGACTTCTCTAACCGGCCGTCGTTCAAAGTCGTTGCTGAATAGACGTTCATATGCGGGGCTCACCGAGAGAGGGGGGGGGGTGTCTTAATCGGGTGGATTTATCGTCCGTTTCATATTTAACGTTGTAGAATTTCACAGCGTGTAGTGTATTTTCGAATCCACCAAAGAACAAGTCCCCTACAGCTGTGGTACATTTTTGTGCCCACCATTCTACCACTGTAGTAGAATCCCCTACAACTGTGGTGTATTTTCCCTCTCCACAGCTCTACTACCGCGTATCGCTACTGGCGCCACCTATAACGATGAACGTCTACGCCCTGATGGGATGTCTCTTTTGCATTGGTCTCTCCATCGGAGTGGTGCTTGCAGTGGGAATGCTCTTCGTTTATCAGGTATGTATGTTATGGTGGGATGGTAGGTCATTGCACAGCAATGCTAAGACGTGTGTTGAAGTATATTGGTGGCTTCATGGTTGTGTGTAATGTGAAATGTCATTATCATATTGCCGGTCCCTGACGTAGTGTGCAACTGTGACGATACTAATTAGGCCTAATTACCCATACTATCTGCTGTATCTGTCATACATATGATCATTACGAGCGAGCGAGCGCAGCGAGCGAAGTGAGTCTTTTCAATATAACGGAAAAATCTCAGTATGAGCGGCCCGGCCCGGCCCGGCCCGGCCCAGCCCGGCCCGGCCCGGCCCGGCCCGGCCCGGCCTGTAACGCTTTTGAGAGGCTTATATCTCAGCAACCGCTGGACCGATTGGCCTGCGGTCTTTTTTGTTGGGTAGCCCCATCCCTTCTACCCCGTAATTGACTACTTTTGATACATCTCAGTGACCGTCGTGGCACGTGCCACGTGAAAAGTCAAGGGTGTTCAAGCTGTTTTGCAAAAGTAGTGATTTTGAGAGGCTCATATATCAGCAGCCGCTTGGGCGATTGACTTGCGGTAATTTTCGTAGGGTAGCTACATCCCTTCTACCAAAGGTCGGATACTCTTCATCTATGTGAGTGACCCCCACTGCACGTGCAAAATACAACAATAAGAGGTGCCAAATTTGTTCCCATTTCAGTAACTCGGTAATTACTGGGGCGATTTCGCTGAAACTTGGCATACAGGTAGGCAACCACCAGGCAATGCATTCCCATGTGTTGCGGTTAGGGTGCTACTGCACGTGCGCACGTGCAGGGGGCGTTTCCAGATCTCGAGAACGGCTGGGCCGATTGCGCTCAAATTTGGTACACGGTTGGGGACCGGTTAGTAGGGTGCCGTGCAAAAGTCATTTTGGACCCCGTTTGCACGTGCGCACGTGCAGAATGCCGCTTCCAGATCTCAGGAACGGCTGGGCCGATTGCGTTCAAATTTGGTACACCGCTAGCGACCGGTTAGAAGGGTGCTTTGCACAAGCCCGTTGGAAGTACCCTCTCGCCCTTCTGCACGTGCAGGGCTCACTCTCTCGCTCGCTCGTCCTTCGCCCAAAAGGCGTTTTACTGGTTCGTAATGTTTGAACCTATCTCAAACTAGCTTATCCATGATGTTTGAACGATCGTTCTTAGGTATTTTGTAATTTGACCGAAGTACGTTATGTCGTTACGAAGAAAGACCGAAGTATAGTCGACTACAGAATGATGTTCCACTTTTCACAGGCAATTATTTACCTGGAGTGGTAGGTTTTGGCGCATCACACGGGCTGAGTTCATAAATTATAGCCCTGTTCCAATGCTCACAGTCGACACGCTTAATTGCGGGATAAACGGCACAACTTAGCGCTCCGGTCAATTGATAGCTTCTGAGGAATGGAACATCATTCTGTAGTCGACTATACATCGTCATTAAGTACGTTAGGTTAAGATAACATATCTTGTATCTGTCTTCTATCTATCTTGTATCTGTGCTAGGCGCTGGCCATCCTCCGTAACCGTACAACACTAAGCTGGCGTATCATGTATCTGTCTTGTATCTATCTTGTGCCTGCCTTGTATCTATCTATCTCGTACCTGTCTTGTATCTATCCATCTTGTATCTGCCCTCAGGCGCTGGTCATCTTCCGCAATCGAACAATATTCAGATAATGTATCTTGCATCTATCCTGTATCTCTCCACAGGCTCTGTCCATCCTCCATAACCATACATCGTTCAGATACTGTATCTTGTGTAATGTGTATCCTGTATCTGCCCACAGGCTCTGTCTATCCTCCGTAACCGTTACTACCGGACAGGTGCGGAGGACTGGATTCTGTATCTTATATCTATCTTTTCCCTGTCCACAGGCTCTGTCTATCCTCCGTAACCGTACCGGTGTGGAGGACTGGATTCTGGAGAAGGCTGTACACAGACGACGGGTGGCCTTCCAGAGACGGTGGACAGAACTCATGGATCGAGCTGATCAGGTGACGAGGGGGCCCTGTTTCGCGGCCTCCGCTAACACACTGCTAGCGTATTTCGCGAGCTGACGTCAGCATTGGGGCAATTTCGGCGCATGATTGCCGCGGTATTGAGTGACGTCATTAGTTAAGTGGTTTAAGTTGACGTCCAAACGTCTCGAATAGCGTCGAATTTTGCTTCTAAACTGATGACGTAACTCAATATCGCGGCAATCATGCGCCGATATTGCCCCAGTGCTGACTTCAACTCGCGAAATACGCTAGAAGTGTGTTAGCGGCGGCCGTGAAACACCGCCTGGGTATAATGCATAGGTGAAAACTTGTGCCGAGCTGGGGGTGCCCGAGCTCTCCCAATTCCACACCGGCTTTGGAGCCGCAACAGACGGCGGAGGTCAAGGGCACGGCTTGGGCGGCGGCGAATTTGATGCGCACGGATGCACAGTGCGGCACAATTCTTCACCTATGGTGTAATATGAGGGAAAGGGGGTAAGTAGGGATATGTTGGGGTAAGTAGAGAAAATGGGACACATGTTTTGGGCATTGAAAAAAGTGCAGCAGAAGATAAGATGTGTTGTGACTAAAATACTCGCCTTTACATAAGGTTTGTTGCGAGACTCAAGCTTTGCCTGAAATGTTGCAAACCTGCCAATGGCGCTTTACATTATCCAAAATGACTTCATTCAACACTAGGAACAGCACTACATCAACATCATGACAGAATATACTAGACTCCAAAATAAAAACCCTGCACATGTAACCAGCCATAATGTTTGGAAATGTGTCTCATATCAGTGTCTTTTGCTTTAATCTCCAATGGCGTTTCTTGCTCTCGCGTGGGAGAACATCTCTGAGTAGGCTGCTCCATTACTAACTAACCCCGTTCTCCCCCCAGGGCGAGGACATTTCCGAAGAGGAAGCCTCCCTCCGGCCGGAGTTCTTCTTCAACCCGTACGACCTCGGACGGATGAGGAACTGGAGCTTGGTGATGTCGCCGCTAGGGGCGCCACTGGGCGACGGCATAGTTTGGCCCGTGAGGGCCGGGTGCCATCAGTACACACTGACGGTAAGAGATGCGACGGTTTCGTAGGTGTTTTTAGATATGGGGTTGTTGCATGAATGGTCCTGTCATGGCAAGAGTGCGTAAATTACGATCTCATTGCAAAGTTTATAATGTAGTAAGTTCATGAGGGTTTTCCGACAAGAAAGCATTCGGGTCGGAGCTTTCGAATTGTCTTTACAAAACTTTGTCAGCGAGTCTTAATCGGGTTTGGGGATATCGGTCGCAAAATTGAAGGCGGTTCTAATGTTCTTATGTTAAGGTTCTTATGTGTGTTTAATGCTCATATTATCATGTTCGTTTGCTAAACGTTTTGCTGATGTATTCTGGTGCGCAGTTGTTTTTCATCTTTTCATAGAGTGATGCGTGTATTATATGTGATTCTGTGATACGATTGTTACTTGTGTCACCATAACAATTGTATCTTGTTCGTCACTGGTGTTTGTGTAACTATTGTGTTGTGTGTATGTGGGCTTGGCCCCGCACTATGTAATTACTGTAGCGTGGTTAATCAATCATGTTTGTGAGGACGTGTGACGCTGTAGTGTTTGTTACACTACGGCGTATTTGCTGTTTGCCCACGTTTGCAGTTTACGTCACCATCATAATGTGTCTTATATTTATTCGTTCATTCTTTCCCAGGTGGAGCAGCTTGAACAGAAGGCAGAGAAGCGCTCCCGGATGAGGGAGTACCTCATCATTGAGGACTACTCCGGCTCGTGGGTGCCCATCTCCAAAGGTGAGCCATGGAGTGACCTCTGACCTGTACTCATGACCTGACCTGGTTCGCGCGGACGTCTGGTTATGACCTGACCATGGTGTATTTTCCGATTTGGTGTGTGCTCGCAGGTTACATCACATCGTGTTTCTTTGCGTGTTTTTTGACCGAATGGATGAATGGATGGCTTTGGGCCTGGTTGATCTTAGCATACTGCAGCTAGATAGCGAAACGGTCCTCCCGGGGTCTAGAGCTTGCAGCGTATCGCACAGTCCACAATTAGCCATCATTGTAGGTACATACCTCACATTAAGCATACCCCACAGTGAAGTGTGAAGGTACCGCGTCGCAGAATGTGTACACTTCTCCCCAACCCTCCCCATTCCACAAATAAATAATCCCATTCAGTCACCCAACCCCAAACTCCAACTAACCCCCATCCCCTTCCCTATTTCTCTATTTTCCCCTAACTTCCCATCCGGCCTCCCATATCCCACCTCCCCTCCCCTCCCCCTATGACTATGATACCCTGCCCTTCCCTATCCCCCTATCCTCCCCTAACTTTCCTCCCCTCCCCTATGCCACCTCCCCTCCCCTCCCTGATAACTATGACTCCCTACCACTCCCATATCTCCCCTAACCCCCTCGTCTCCCCCCAGGACTCCGAATCTGCTGCCACCCTCCCTGCACCGACGAAGCTCGAATCCCGCTCCGTCGCGGCGACTCCGTTCTCGTGTCTCGCTGGAGAACATATTGGCTATATGGAGAACGGCGGCCAAGACCTACAGAAGGAGCATGTGGGGCAGCTTTTACAAGCCAGAGTGCTAGCGGTGGAAGCATTAGCGGCGGTGGAAGTGTAAGCAGAAGTGGAAGTGGAAACATAAGTGGAAGTGGAAGTGGCCGTGGATGTGGAAGTGGAAACATAAGTGGAAGTGGAAGTGGAAACATAAGTGGCGGTGGAAGTGGAGGTTTTATGAGAAATGTTGGAGGAGGACAGCATCCAACAAGTCCAGCAGATCGTCCCAGAGGCTGGTTCCCCCGGAGGTGTGCGGTTGAAGAGGTGGGAGGGGTGGTGGAAGGTGGGGAGGAGTGCGGGGGAGGCAGGGAGAAACAGGAGTAGAGGAGAAGAGAGGGAAAGTGGAGGAGTGAGGGAAAGAGGGAGAGGGGAGAGACAGTGGAGAGATGTAGAAGGAAGTGGAGAGAGAAGAGCAGAAGAGGAGAGGGAGGGAGAGAGGAGAAGAGAAGAGAAGAAGGGGAAAGGAGAGGATGAAGAGAGGAAGAGAAGAGGAGGTCGACGTCAGGATTGGATTTCAGGTAAGCTTGGGTCGAACAATATTGGGAAATGGGCGACATCATATTAGCTGCTAAACGATAACTCTGAATTAACGGTTTCTCCCCCACCTTATTTTTTTATCATATGTTGGTTTTATGTGTTCTGAGGTTGTGCATAATTAAATATCTGGCAGAGAAAGTCTGTTGGAAATAGTAAGATGCATTACCGTCTACTCCACGACACCATAAGCTAACATGCTTTAGCCTTTACGAAGTCCCGTTTCCCGTTTTCAGCACTCGCTTTATGCCTCTTCGACTGGTAGCGACGCTGGCGGGTCTTTACTGAATCACTAGTTTATATACCGCTCACTAGGTGGCAGTGAAGGACACGGCTCGCTTCCTCAGATCAGAGGCACAGTCGTAACCCGTCTTGGCCCGAGACTGGATGTCGGGCAGTTTCACCGACGAAGCAGTTGACTGCTTCGTCTCCCAACTGCTCGGCCAGAGTTGCCAGGTGCTGCCAGTTAAAGTTGCCAGGCGTTTGCCAGATGCGTTTGCTGACTGCGGTGATGTGATCTCTATTTGAAGTCGTGTTTACCAAAGGGTGTGTTGTGGTAGTAGCGATGCGTTGCTCGAGTGAGACTTGCGACTTCGTTGCCAAATGCCATGACAACTGGTGGTGAGTCTTGTGATTTGACGGGTGACTTTACAACTAGTGTGGACCAGTGTTTGATGTGTGCTTGAATTCCTGTTACTTCAAGACACTACGATTCAACTCAAAATTAGCTACAGTCTGACAAACGTTGGAAGGCACGGATTTAAAGTACAACTGTTATTTATTTACTTTCCTGGATTTCTCTATACGCCCAACAACTTTGTTTTCAAAATCTCAAACACATCAGACTATCTGCAGCGGCTATTTCACGCATTTAGTTTTCAAGGCGCCTTTTTTTTCTTAGATTTGCCAGGCTAATCTCGGATGTGTTTTCGGGTGTTGTTTGTGAGTTTCGAGTGTTTTCATGAACATTTTACTATTGACACAAACAGCTGGCATGTTTGTGTCAATTCAAGGCGTGTTTGTGTGGTGTTTGTCTCCACGAAGTGAAGTGTTTGTTTGTTGGTATATAGTAATTGTCATAGTGCCTTCAGTGTTTAGATCAGGTTTCTGCCATTCCAATATCGCTGGTAGCAATACTCGGTGTAAAGTTGATAAAACGCTTTACTGAGAAAAGTGAATGCTTTTGAAAATCATCGCTCTAGTTATATACGATGTGTGGTTGTTGAAACGTTACGTTGATCGTGGCTTCCTTTGGAAATTTCGTTATGTGCGTTAATCATTACCAAATGTGTGACTAGAAATGCAATGTGTGCTTTAGGGTGTTGTATCAATAAGGCGTAGGTTAAAGGTTTGCACAAGCAATGTTGATACGCATGCATTCATTTAAGAAAATAAGCTTATCGTGCATTCAGCTTTAAGCGTGGTGGAATGGAAAGAAGAAATTGTTCGTCCTAGCTCAAATCCATTGTGTCATTTAAATAGCCTAATAGAAAAACGTTAAATCGACTTAACGGCACAATTTCCAGCTGCTCACTTTTGCGTGTATTTATACGTGCTTTTGTTACGTTATTCGCTTGCTTTTTCGTTGATCTGTGTTAGCTTGCCGTGTTGAATGCTAAATGCTATAAAAAAGCACGTTGTTGGAGCGTATACAGTCCATATCAGAATGAACTATGCACTCGTGGTCGTGAACAATACACTGCGTGAAAGAAATCCTGTGTTTAACCATATACACTTACAGCAATGGTTTTGTGGAGACGACTCTTTAGTGCCCTGGTGGAGACAGTTCTATAGCCTTGGTGGAGACATTTGTATCAATGATTTTGGGAACTTCGACTTGCAGCGATCTCGTCTCAGGGGACTCGACTGGTGGGCCGTTTATAAGCGCCTCAGCGCTGGCGATTAGCCGACAGAGTGGCTCGGCTGTCGCGGTTTGTTCGCCCGCTCTTGTGAACCGTGATCCAAGGATAGGCCGTCGGGGCTCTGATCGCTGGACGATGGTTGTGCATCAATGTCCCTTGTACAAATTTGACCTAGACCGCTGTTGGTGCGCGGGTTAATATACCCATTTCAGTCGCAATTAGTTTAATAAAGCTAAATATCCAAAATGACAAAGATCAGACGAATACGAATCAGATTCACACGTTTTAAAAAATCTTTACGAAACTAACTCAGATGACTAATTGCTAACCCAGTCCCAATTTTCTTGCTAAAGGTAAACACTCAACCGGTCAAAACCGATCTTCTTCCTTCAGGTTGATCCTTCTGACGGAAGACCCAAGCAGCCTCATTCCACCGTTCCTGCGAGTTGCCCGAAGTCCATCGGAGTGTACCGGAGTTCGTCTTGAAACCTGTCGTTCCTTCCGGTCCATTCGATGCTTCCTATCGTCCATTGATTTCATCGAAGAAGGACATCGTATGTACAACACGAGCCAGCTTGGAGCAAGGTAAGCTTGGGGAAGGTGATATTTTGGTTAAATTGTTGAATGATTTTTTTCTTTAGAGAGAGAGAGAGCGAGAGGGGGAGGGACGGGAGAGTGCACCATAATTTTGTCCTGTGTGTTATGTCAGAAGAAACGGAAAGTCTGAACTTCAAGTTCATAACGGAACTTATGCTGTGATATTTGATGACGTCTTACCATGGTACGTTCATTTTAACCCTCGCCCTGGCAGGGCATTTTTCATAACACGGCCTGGCAGGGGGGGGGGGGTCGATGCGACCCCCCCTCACGATTGGCTCCTATGGCACCTAGAAACACCAAATTTGGGTAGGTAGGTGGGCCCCCTGGAGTTCTCGCCCCTGTGCAAATTTGGTTGCTCTAGGTCAATATTTAGGGGGGTTTTGGGGGGTATAAATGTAAAAATTTCGCTAAAAACAGGTCAAAGTTTTTTTCGCTAATAACTTTTGATCTAATTAAGATAGAGCAAAAAGAAAAGCACCAGTGAACTCAGCACGTCAAGGCGCGTCGAAGGATATACTTTTTAGCTTGCTTAAGTGTGCTTAAAGTTTTTCTTAAATTTTAAGTAAACTTAAATTTATAAATTAAGTTCAAGTTAACCAAATTGCATCATATCGCATATCATTCGATTTGGCTGATCACCAGGAACACAATGATGCCATTTTTTAAGCTCTAGCGTCATTATGTGCCAAGTTATTGGCAAAAACGTCATTTGACCTCAGTTGACCTCATTTGACCTGACCCATGGATAAGTACACCAAACAAAGAAGCACCAAGTGACCTGCTGTTAAGTACTGTGGTTTCAAAGCACAAAAGTGATGGAACGAAGCGGATATCTCCAGTATTTTCCGAATTTAGTATTTTCCCATAGGCTTAACATTACGACGTAATGACCTCTAACTGACCTCAGGTCAGTGACCTCAAAAAACCCGAACTATATGTTATACAACTCGGTAAACTTAGCACATCCTGAAAGTTTGAAGGAAATCAGTCCAAAACTGTGAGCTGGACAGGTGCAAAAAGAAAATTGAAATTTGACCATGACCTTGTACCGGTTTTTCTGACCTGGTGACCTGACCCTAGGTCACTTGGACCTTAAATTTTCAGGTCATATGTAAAAAGGTTGCCCCATAGGCTGTGCCAAATTTGGCGGCGCTGCGCGCCGCCGTTTTTACGCTATCTTTGAAAAACCTTAGGGGGGTCGCATCGACCCCCCCCCCTGCCAGGGCGAGGGTTAATCTCGCTTTCATTCTATTCACTCCGTCGTCCCCCCTATAACCGCCCATGAGATCTAAAATAGGACATTCCTGCTTTATAATATTCCCCTCCCCTTATTGTTCCAGTGTAACATGCTGTGAAATTGTCTGGTCGCATCTTCATTCACTCTAAGTCGTATCATCATATCTGAGGTTCCCCCTCCCTTCTCTCAACAAAATCCTGGCCACATGCCCCCACTAATTTTGCTGTAAAAATATCTAACGACGCTTTCGAAGCCTTTCGAAGCCTCGGTGGCCGGCCAACGCCCAGCGATCCTAGCTCCCAGGCGTCTCTGGCGTCATATCATGTGACCCGGTTGCTAGGCAACGGCTGGGTCAGAGCGAAAGGGGGAGGGGGTCAGTGGGGGCGGCCGGAGCCAGGGCTGGGTTGTAGGTAGGTATTTTTATTTGGACGCCATTTAATTGCGTCCCAGAAAAGCTATTTCTGGCACCTAAAAGCTGACTCGCCCCAAAATTGGTCCTCAGCACCTATTTGGTGGATACCAGCACCAATCATGGAAAATGACCTTAATTAGCTGTTTCTGGCACCTATTCATCGGTACGCCTTACTCTTTTTTCTGAATCTGGCACCTAAATGCTGAGCGTAGCACCAATCTAGCAGAAAAATGAACTACTGGCTGGTAGAATCATGTTGTTCTGGTATAATGACCCCTGGAGTCTAGCCTAAAGGTTGCCAGTGCAGCTACACTCTAAGACAGCCCCGTAGTGATCTCAGCATTGTATATGACGTTTAAGTAAGCAAATAATATTGATTTGCTTGAAAAAACAATGTCATTTAAATATTTAAAAGTATTTATTTGTAATGCTTAAAGGGAAACATTTTTGTGAGTAATTGTCTCGATTTTGACCATTAAAACGGGTATTGTATTTTTGACGTCATCAAATAGTTCCAAAAAAGAAATGTAATGTTTTCATTCCGTTCAAGGCCGCTGAAGAAACGCGGGATCTTGCGTGGGACATTGTCCGTTGTTTGCCGCGCAGAGTTGTGCCTTTTTCATCCGTTTCTTACTTATGTGTGCATGAAGCTTTGATTTTGTTTTTGGTTATTGTGTGGCCGGTCAGTCAAACGCCCCTGTAGAAACCGGATGCTGCGTTTGATCGAGATGGAGTCAGACGATGATTGCAGAAAGCTAATCGGTAATATTGAAAAGAGGGCCGGTTGCGTGGCATGTCTGTTCAGAGTTGACATTTTGCTTTACTCCAGTTTATGACCTGAGAGCCTGGCTGGAAGTGACGGATCCAAACTTTTCACGTTAAAATGGCTGAGGGTGCAATAATCTCTACAAAGCGGGCTGGTATAGGAGCGTCTTGCTATGCTGCACCATAGCTGGCTAGTGATTCTCTTTTGGCTAGAAATGGCATTAATCATTATCTCCACTGGCGAAAATGGCACTTGACATCACCGAATGCAACGTTCATGTTTGTTAGGATACATAAAATCAGGAAGATTACGCGAATTAGGTAGACAAACGTGGAATAAAATAGGTGCTGGATGTTTTGGTTTTGGTGCTGAATCAGCAAACAGCAAATACGGAGTTCAACTAGACGATCTGGCAACTTTAGGCTGTGTGGAAGCAATTAGGTGCCAGATTCAGATATTAGGGTCGAATAAGCATTTTTGGGCTGATCAGCAATTAGGTGCCAGAAACAGCTTTTTAGGGACCAGAAACAAATATTCCCCTTTTTATTTTCACAAACGCCGAATGTATGTAAGAACGAATTTCAGGCGCGATACAAATTCATTTCAGTCAAACGTCAAATCTAAAATCCGTTTTTGGTGTGGATTTAATCGTGAATGTTTGCAAGGTAGCTGCTCGCTCCTTCGGCACAATCTGTTGCTTTATTTTAAGCCGATTAATGTTAATTGTGAAGCTAAGAATGCCTACGTTTGAGAGTGCATGGAAGCCAGCTTGAGACGGCCGAAGGCCTGTCAACTCAACATGAGCATAATTTGTAACAAATTTTAGGCTTGACGAATTCAAAACCTCCCAACCAAGACACACCTGAACGTTTGATAAAATATGCCGTTTAATGTAAGCATTTCAGGACGGTCATTTGCCTATTATGTCTATTATTCCAATTGCTATCCGCCTCTGCAATGCTATGCTGCCTAGTGCCTACAACGTTCGTACTTCGTCGTCCGGCTCCTGCCCGCTTTTCCCGTCGGCATCCTTATTCCAGACTCCAGCCCACCCCGGCCAACACCCATAATTTCCGTCGAGTTACCCTCTTCGAAACCATACCCCCTGCCGCGTTCCATCCATAAATTCTTCCCTCCCCTCCAAGACAGATTTCTGGAGTCTGTGCTTAACTACCGTACATTAGTTCCAATCCCCCCTTCCCTCTCTCTTTTCTCCACGCTCTCTCTTTCCGCACGATCGCGGTTCGTCGGCTGGCGAGGCGTTCCTTTAGCTCCGCCTCTTTGGCTCTAAGCTCCGCCTTCTCTATTGATCCAGCCCGCCACGCCCCGAGGGCTTCGTTTGTCTTCATCATTCGGTCAGACAGGGAATTTACAGCCGGGTTGTCATGGCAACCAAGCCGCCCGAGGCACTTCGGCAGCGCCAAGACGGCCGGCGGCGACGAAATGTCGTCCCTGGTTTGGGAGCTATGTTATAACATAGCTTGTGAAATGTGGTTTGGAACTGGAATGGCACGGTGAAATGTGTAAGTTCAGGAAGATTCAAGATTCTCTCGGAGGGTGAGAATCGTCTGAAAGTTGGTGCTGTGGGGGCATCAGACTTGGTTACAAATTGGTGAAAAATGAAAATCGTCCAATTCGATATTCAGGAAGTTTGTGTCAATAGGTAGGTACCTATGTGAACTTGGCTTGAACCAATTATGGAATTGTGAAGCATAGTGTGATTTTGAACAAGCCTGAAATAATTGAAACTGTGTTGTGAAGTGGTTAGGAATTACGCTGAAATCACCGACTAGGTACTCAATGGGCAAATTTTGTAATAACTTGAGTTTCTTTTCT